GACTTTGAGACAAGTCTGGGGTAACTAAGACCCAGTCTCTAAAGCAAAGACAACTCTGAGAGGCGCTCACTGTGCCAGACTGTGTTCTACTTTTGCAGCTCGCATTTTGAAATGAAGGCAGATCCTTCTAGGTGCCCTAGGAGTGAATGAAGAAAGCTGCGAGGTCTCACGTGATGACAGCTTGCAAACTTGCATCTTGAGGAATCCTGATTGTTGTCTGTTACCTTTGTTTGTTTGTTTGTTTGTTGTTGGAGGCAGATTTTCTCAGTGTAGCCCTGGCTGTCTTGGAACTCACACTGTAGACCAGGCTGGCCTTGAAATCAGAGATACATCTGCCTCCTCCGCCTCCCAAGTGCTGGGATTAAAGACGGTTTTTTGTTTTTGTTTCTCCCATTTTAAAAGCAGAATCTAAGGCAGGCATGGTGATTTATACACATAATCCTAGCACTTGATAGACTGAGGCAGGAGGATTGGTAGGAAAGTTAAATTGGTGAGAGTTCCTTTACTGGTGTGACTTACTGAAAGAAATATAAGATACAGGGCATGCTCAGTTCCTCCAGGCGGACAGACCCTGGGTGTAGGCTCTGGAGAGAAGGAAGCCTGGATTTAATTTGTGCAGATTCTATTTCACTGTCTGGTAGCCACACGAGTGAGCGGTTTTTCAGGGTTCTTTAGATCATGTGGTTGGTTCTTCCTCTGTTATTAATTTGTTTACAGCTTAGTCATTAGTCCTTAGTCGTTCTGGTCCTTACAGTCTTGGTCCCCAGTTCTTATCATACCCCACTGGTCACTCTGCTGAGCACTGGGTCTTGTCACCCTGAAGAACTAAAGTGAATCTCCTGTGCCAACGGTATATACAGATGTGAAGCTGGATAGCAGCTGCACGTGAAGCTCCGCCCACAGACACGACACACCCTGCTGTCGGTCAGGTGACCAAGGTAGAGGCGCTATTGGTCTTAACAGTCTTTGGGCTATGAATGTTAAACCTGGGCTAACAGAAAAGCGTGGCCCTAAACCACGACGGCTCTGAGGAAAGAGGATGGGGGCCCCAAGAGCATTGCTTTGGAGGCAGTGGGAATAAGGGGTGAAAAGACATGGAAGGCTGTTAGCCGTGTGCTGAGTCACGGGCGAGGTGAGGTTTATCCCTCCCTGCTGTGGAGGGCTGTGTGCGTGTACCTGGATTGTGCACTTGAATATTCTTATAAATAGTAGCAGTTAGTGCCAAACGAAACCACAGCATACTGGCTGAAACTAGTATGCAGACCTAGTTAGTATGTGCTACCGTGTATGCATGTATGTGTGTACATGACCAGGTACATGGCAGTCCATACCTAGAACCCCAGCACTCAGGTGGCCCACACAGAAGGATTTTGAGTTTGAGGACATCCTGGGCTACACAGGGTTTGGTTGTGAGGACCAGATGGGGGTGTGCTTGACCTGGGCAGAGTGATGGCCACGGCCTCTCTTGAGTGCATCTGCCACATGCTTGAGACAGACGCTTGGACGGGTTGAGCTGTCAGCCACGGGCCTTTTCCTCTCATTCACAGTGAGAATGATTTCATAGCTGGTTGAGTTTTAGTTTTCTTAGCATCAAACAATCTGTTTCCAAATAATTTACTCCCGAAATAAGGGGGTGGGTGGGAGTGGGCAAAGAAGCATTACTTGGGTCAGCTTCCTACTGAAGCAGCCATCCAGGGCCTGAAGTGAACACACCTTGGGCTCCTGCAACAGCCGGCTGAGAAGAGACAGCTTCATGACGTTTCCCTCGTGAGAAGGTCCTCCATCTTGTGTGTTTACATAGCTTTCCTCCTCTGGGGTTTTCCTCCTTCGAAGTGGAGACATCCAGAGTCACTGTCTGCAGTGTTAGGTCAGGGACAGGACACTGCCAGAACCACAGGGGATTCACACTGTTTACTCTTCCGGCTTTTCGTTTGCCAGGTTTGTTTAGGACTCAGCGTAGCTTTCCATAGTCATGGCCATAGCCTGCTGCCTGTCCTAGAACTGGCGCAGGCAAGGTGGTTGAGGTGGCAGGCTGTCCGTGGGCCTGTGGCCATATCCTTGAGGTGACAGGCTGACTGCGGGCCTGTGACTATGCTCCTCTGGTCCCATTATCTCAGGGACTGGAAAGCTAATTAGCATAATTAAATGGGCTTATTTCATTGAATTGAAATTGAGGCTTTCTTTAAAGCTGTCTTGTCCACACTCTGTCCCATGTGTGATCCATCCGGCCCCTCTTCACATCCCTTTGCCAGCTTCTCGAGAGGACAAAGTTGGGTCTCCGCTCAGGAAGCCCTGCCTGAGCTATCACTTCTCTGTCTCTTCCTTGGAGACTTCATTGGCCCTTCAGTGCTGTACTCCGGCTTTGCTTCAGGGACCAGATTCTCCGAGTCTGCCCAGCCTGAGTCTCTGAGGACACTAGCCTTTCGGGCCTCGGTTTCCTTGACAGGTGGATGATGAGAGAGAAGATAAGGGCCCGCACCTGGTGTGTTGGATGCACTTGCTTACGGTGCACCTGGCAGGTGGTGACGTCGAGCCTCTGCAGTCAGCACTGTCGTGTATGGGTCGATCTCACAGCATTAGTGTTGGCTCCTGTCACTTGAGGTGTGCTTGCTGTCAGCTCCTGTCACGGCTAGCACTTGTTTCTGCTCTGTTTGAGGCAGTGCCTCTCACTCTAACCCAGGCTAGCCTCCTGCCAACGTTTGGAAGTAGAGATGTGTACCACACACACCTGAGTTTCCGTGACATCCAGAATAGTATCCACAGTCCTGTGTTTCTTGATTCTTGTCCTGGCTTTTTGGGCTCCTCTTGCTCTGCCCCAGCCTGCTGTCCTCCTGTGCGATGCCCAGGCATAGCTGTGCTTCATCGGATAGCCCTTCCTTCCTGACCCCAATCACAGACATGCCATACCCTAGAATTACAGAGACAGACAGACAGAAAGACACTGAATTCAGGCCATCTGGCTCACATAGCAAATAGTCTTACCCACTGAGCCATCGCACCCTGCCACCCCCAATTTACTTTTTGTTTTGTTTTTTGATTTCTCTGTAGATCAGGCTGGCCTTGAACTCAGAGACCCACCTGCCTCTCAAGTGCTGGGGTTAAAGGCGTGCGCCACCACCTCCTGGCTCCACTTTGTCTTTGGAAATGAGATCGCGGTAGGAGACAGTCCAGGCTTTAGGTTATTCCTCCCCCCACTCTTTGATTCACTATGGCTTTCTCAGTTAACTAACCGCAGGTGGCAGCATCTTGCTGTCGAGTTGGTACCTGGTGACGGTTGTCATGGGTCCTGTGCTGTGCATCTTTGGCAGCTGGTGACAGACCGTTTTGCTGAGCAGTCTGAACCCCTCCCGCCTGCCATTTTTGTCATCTCCAAACACTAACAGTAAAACAAAGGTTTACGACATCCATCCTGAGTCAGGGAAAATGGAGATGTAATGGAACTTTCACCTGGAGCCCTGCCTGTGATGGGGAGCAGGAGGGCAGGGCAGCTAGGGAGGTGCCGTTGGTGTTGAAGGATTCAGGCTCTCAGAGATAACTACTGGCCAGTGACTGGATTCTTCTTTTTTTTTTTTTTTCTTTTTTAAGATTTATTTATTTTATGTATATAAGCACACTGTAGCTGTCTTCACACACACCAGAAGAGGGCATCAGATCCCATTACAGATGGTTGTGAGCCACCATGTGGTTGCTGGGAATTGAACTTAGGACCTCTGGAAGAGCAGTCAGTGCTCTTAACCGCTGAGCCATCTCCCCAGCCCCCGGTGACTGAATTCTAAAAATTAGCTTTCGTCACATACCTAAATCTCAATGGTAGAGGACTTTTGAAAACACTAGGTAACCTGGGAAGTCATCTCCCATGCCCTTGCCCTTACTAGTGGGTAAGAGTTTCTCCCCCTAGATCTGAGCCACCGTCAGTCTGATGGGAAGACAGTGGCTGATACAGGTCACAGTGGCCTGGCAGCTTACAGACCCGTTCACTACGCTCCTTCTGAGGACTTCTTCACTTTTGACATGGTGGATTGCTGCTTGCCTCTTTTCTGACTGTGGCATGAATTTCGGTCAAAAAAAAAAAAAAAACCATACCCAGGTCAAACTTTAAAGTCACACATTTGTGAATTTGAAGGGCTGACAGAAGAAGAATGCAGATACCAAGGAGAAAGAAACTAGCACTCGTCACATAGCTAAGTCTCATCGTACAGGACTTGATGTCTGACTGGTAGCTTCTCTCAATCCCTCTGGTGAGCACTGGAGTGGCGTGAGCTGAGACCTGCCGGCACCGTTTTCCTTCCCACTGCAGGGTTTCTGTTGAATCTCCGTCCAGCGTTAGCTGATCATACGCATATACCCATCACCCATGGTTACTCGGCGCCTCTGTGGACTCTATCCTCTTGGTGTGCCATGCTGACTGGTCTCCTGAGCCGAGCCTTGATGAGCTGAGTAGATCGTGCTTTCCTTTCCCAGAGGGCTTAGTCTCCATCGATTCTGAGTTCCTCTTCTTCATTGACATGACATGAGAGGATATTTGGAGTTGGCCATCTAGTATGTTCAACCATAGTGGGTTAGCACCAGGTAGTTCATTCCTCAAGTTTTGGTTCCAAGGCTAGCTCAGAAGACAACTATGCCAAGCAGGCCAGAAGCCCAACTTCTTAGTTCCCAGAGTATGCAACAGTCAGGACAGTGAAGCCTAGAAACCCTCCTGACTTCTGTTACTTAAAGCAGGGGCCAGTGGCTTGTGACAACTAAGGATCTCCACCATTCAGACCCCTGACCCTTCCATGTTGGCTCATTCCATTGCTGCAAAGCTGCCACTGAGCTAGGGTCTCCACACCTGGGGTTGCTCACCAACCTACGTGGTGTTCTTTATGTCGGCACAGAACGGCCTTACCGCTCCTTACCGCAGAATGGAATCTTACTACAGTCACACTTGGGTGTGAACCAGAATTCTGTCTCGAAAGCTATGTTCCCCACGTTCACTCATGGACCATTATCTTGTTTTCCAGGCCATGGTTGCTTGTTACCCAGGCAACGGAACAGGCTATGTCCGTCACGTTGATAACCCAAATGGAGATGGAAGATGTGTGACGTGTATATATTATCTAAATAAAGACTGGGACGCCAAGGTATGCAACTGAATTCAGTAGTGATGGCTTTTCTTCAAGCTGTGTGGGGTTTTTTTTTGGTTTTTTTGGGGGTTTTTTTGTTTTTTGGGTTTTTTTTCCTGGATATCTGTAGTCCGCTTCAGTCCAGACATTCAGAGTGGATTTTCGTGACATGAAACCGATAGGACCGTGTTTGGAAACAAAAACTAATGTGTGAACACATAGCGGCTTGCCTTGCATAGTATGTACCTATGGGTGGTGCTGTGGTGTAAGTGGACCCAGTGAAACACACCAGGAATCCCTGTACCTGAGAGGTGGAGGCTGGAGATTCAGGAGTTCAAGGCTGCCCTGGTCAGGGTTCAGAGAAGATTTCCAGTGTGAGATGAGTGTCAACCAGCCAGTTCTCCTTAAGCAGCAGGTCGAGGAGAAAGAGATTTATGTTCGTCATCTCAATCTGACAGATCTCTTAAGTGTTTGCAAGGTGCCTTGGGATTCGGTGGCATACAAAAGCAAAGAAGCAGCCCATATTCCCGCTGGCTGACATTACGAGGGCACAAGACCGTATGTAGTCCCCTGTCTTAAGTTGTAGGTCAGGCTCAGGGCAAGGCATTCAAGTGCCCTTCAACCCTGAGCCCATCTGCTGAGAAGCATTAGTTTTTTGGGCTTCCTGGTGCACACCTATGACCTCAGCCTTTGGGAGGGTCAGAGGTCAAGGTCATCCTTGGCTACATGGGAAGTGCGAGGCCAGACTGGGTTACTTGAGACCTTGTCTCAAAACTCAAGTAACTAAAATATCTCCAGATTGGTGATTTTAGTCGAGCGTTCTTCCTCATAGTCTAAAACACAAGGACCAGGTCTATATATGCATGACTCCCACTCCTCATTTAGGGTCCCCGTGATTTTTCGGTGGACTCGTTATACCGTCTGTGATGAGTATCCGGTCCCCACAGAGAGCTGCGGTCGAGGTATGGGTGGAGTTGGGCTCTCGGCAGCTACGATCAGAATTTAGACCCTGGCTACACGGGGATTGCTGGGTACAGAACGGGTTAGGATGGGGATGACTCGGCAGGCCAGGGTAGCTGCCACCAAGCCTGAGGATCTAAGTTCGATTTCTGGGTCTCACCAACTCCCAAAAGTTGTCTCCCAGCTTCCATCCGTACGTAAATGTAGACTGAGAAATAAACACCGCCAGCTCGCCCACTGTGCTTCTTTATCTGATAGTACGTTAAAAGGTAAGCCGCAAACGTGGCTTCATGCCGTCCTCAGCAGGACTAGAAATACTCACCGGTTTTCAAACCTTGCAAACAGGGTTGGAAATTTTGTATGTTTGTCTGTGGCAAGTTGCTTACAACCAAAAGGAATTTTCCGACGGGCGGTGGTGGCGCACGCCTTTAATCCCAGCACTTGGGAGGCAGAGGCAGGCGGATTTCTGAGTTCGAGGCCAGCCTGGTCTACAGAGTGCGTTCCAGGACAGCCAGGGCTACACAGAGAAACCCTGTCTCGAAAAACCAATTAAAAAAAAAAAAAAAGGAATTTTCCCATGCATCCGTCCCATATGTGGAGTCTCAGCCCACCTTCACACCTTGGTAGTTAACATAACTATATTTATAAATAACCTAGCTAATCATTTTGAGTCGTTTAACCCTGCCTACCGCCAGTTTAACCTGGTACCATTCCGCGTGGGGTCATACTGACATACTCTGCTCTTTCCCCAGGTAAGTGGAGGTATTCTTCGAATTTTTCCAGAAGGCAAAGCCCAGTTTGCTGACATTGAACCCAAATTTGATAGACTGCTGTTTTTCTGGTCTGACCGGCGTAACCCTCATGAAGTACAGCCAGCATATGCCACAAGGTAGTGTTCCGCTCACGGGAACCTGGTTGACAGCGTGAGAGGGCAGGGCGAGTCGAAGGGTGAACCCCAAGTTTCTGTGGAGCACCCGTCCGCTGTCCAGGCCCTCCCTCCGGCGTTATGGTCTTCTTGATCTGAGTGATCATGAGTATTCCCACATGCTCCTGAGAATGTCAGTCTGCTCATGGCTGCCCTCCGCCTGCGGTAGACTAGGACTGGATCTCCCCACTCTGCTTCTCCCATCCCATCCCATCCCACCCGACCCCTAACCCTGGCATGGTGTGCCTGTTAATACTGCCCACTCTGTGATTCTGTGGGTGTTTTCAGAGCACTCTTAGAAAACTAGTAAAGGAAAAGGGCAACTTTTCAAAAGTAATTCGGAGAGCAGAAGTGAGGCGAAAAGGATCTATTCGGGGATAGATGGGGAAGTGGCCATGTGTGGTGCATGCTGGGAAGACAAACCAGAATCACCCTTCACATCTGCTGCCATGGGTGGTGCATGCCCACCATCCCAACTGCTGCAAGTTCAAGGCTAGCCTAGGTTACATATTACTCTCCCGGCCAGGCAATAGGAACATAGGAGGGCCTTATCTCAAAAAGCAGAATATAGCACAAAGCAATCTGTCTGGTTTCCCCTCGTGTCTCTTTCACTGGACTCTAGGGTTTAGATTCTAAACTGATTATGTTAATTCGTACATTCTCGTGAATGTGGTTTTTGTTTTTTGTTGTTATTGTTGGTGGTGGTGGTGGTGGTTTTTTTCCATGTAGTATAATTTAATGAAATGATTCAGAAGACAGGGCCGTGAAGCACACCCTTGCAGAAAGCATGTTTTTATCAGGGAAAGTGGCAGGAAAGTCTGCTGTTTCCTCTGGTTTAGAAGCAGCCGGGAGCTGGCATAACAGAGCCTCCCTAGTGTCAGGGTAACCAGTGACCAGGGTTGGTGGCCATGAATGAAACCCCAGAGCCTGCATGGCATCTGTCCTTTTCCTGCTTCTGACCCGTGTGGCTTCCATCGCTGATTCACAGTGGGTAGCAGCTGCCTGGCGGAGCCTGAAGTCCCAGGTACCCTGAGAGGAAACCTGGGAACCGGCAGAGCACACACAGTGGGGCCAGAGGTGCAGTCAGGAGAGGGGCCACTGGGCAAGAGAACAGAGGCCAGAGGCCAGGTGGGTCTGTATAGTCCAGGCAGAGGGGAGACTAAGTCTGGGGATGAGAGGAAGGCAGCTCAGGAAAGTAGCAGAGTTTTCTCGTGAGGACTCAGGACTTTGGGAGGCGCTGATCAGGTCTCAGGCTTCTGATTGGTCGTTGACCGAAAGCCTGGGACATGGGCAGGGAGCTGTTCAGAACTACCTGTATAACCCTGCTCCCTGAAAGAGACCATAGTAGGAGCAAGGATGCAACCTGGGCAGAGCAAGTCAGCCGCTGGCTAGTATTAGGACACATGCATGCACTATGGTGCCTGCCACTGGCTCTGCCCTGTATCTGAGTCTTCAAGGAAGGTGACACGATTGTGTAGCTGATTATTCTGATGGTTGCTTTTCCCATGAACTTTGGCCTGGATCCACACATTCTTACCTAACGATGGCTCTCCTGATGGACCGGTGGCCTGAGTCACATTCTCATGTCCACAGCGTCTGCTCCTGTGCTCCACTGTTTACAGTGTGTGCCGGCCGCCACATGCTGTTAGCTGTGGAGTCAGACACGAAAAGACACGCTACTGATGTACCACGAAGTCACCTGCTGTTAGCTCTGAGCAGACCTGTCACACCACATTTATTTGTGTGGGATAAAGTAGTTCAGTTAGATGAGGTCTTTCGGGAAAGGGTTCAGCCAAACCCAGCGTCAAAACGCAGTGACTTTTTGGGAAGGAATCCTAGAAGTTTGTGTTTCTTAACTCTTCCTCAGTGACTCAGAGTCAGAGATGTTAGACTACTGGCCTGTGTTTCTTTATCCCGGTTACTGTCCCTCGTTTCTGGCCACTTGCCCCTTTCCTTATCTGTTTCTGACCATGCAGGCTGGGTGGGCATGGAGAGAGGCTATGAGTCTCCCTTGGATGCTGTAGCTCTTCTGCAGGATGGACAGGACACGCTTGCCTGTTAACAAGTCGGTCTTAGGCTGCTTCGTGCCATTACAGGTTGTCAGGAACACTTTCCTCCCAGGGACCATTCTGACCCTGTCTTAAATTTCCTTCTAGGTACGCAATAACTGTTTGGTATTTTGATGCAGATGAACGAGCAAGAGCTAAAGTAAAATATCTAACAGGTAAACACAGCTGGGCGTGGCTGGAACAGTTGGGGATGGTGTCTTCCAAAAGCCACAGTCCAGGAATGTTTCTGCCAGATTCCCTAAGTCCCCATTTTAAACAGGATCTCTCCAGTCAGTCTTCATCCTTACCTGCTGAAATTGTCCAATGCTTAGCGGAGGCTTGATGCATGTGTGAGTTTGTTAACTCAAGCACAGCCAGAGCTTTTCTGTGACGGCCCCCTGAGCCTCAAGCTCCTTGGCGCTCTTTAGGCTGCCCTCGTCTTTCATATAAATGGATGCCTCTTCCTTTCACAACATTCGCTCTAAAGAATGTTTGGCGGGCTGGAGAGATGGCTCAGCGGTTAAGAGCACTGACTACTCTTCCAGAGGTCCTGAGTTCAATTCCCAGTAGCCACATGGTGACTCACAACCATCTGTGTTGGGATCTGATGCCCTCTTCTGTCATGCAGGCATACATGTAAATTGAGGACTCATGTACATAAATAAATTTTTAAATCTTTAAAAAGAAAAAAAAAAAGAATGCATGGCCACAAGGGAAGTCTGTAGAGAAGAGGCAGAGCAGCTCAGCAGACAGGTGTGCAGATTCCCAAGTGCCAGGTTTGCGTGGAGGTCATGGACTTGTGCACCTGTGTGTCCTGGGACCTGAAGCATACCCAGTAGTCACAGGACCACTCACTGAGTTCTAAGGAGGCGGACTCAACTTAGCCTTTTGTAAGAATGTAAAAGAAAATGGGATGTTCGTGATCTTTCTGGGATTTCTCAGAGCTGTGGTTTGTGTGCTCTCGTTGGCTTTCCAGTCCTCAGTCCTCAGGTGGCTTTAAACTCAAGATGGCACTGTTTCTGGTGAGATACCTCTGCTCACCCTCTAAGATCTGTGCAGAGCAGTGTGCTTGGCACAGTGGCAGTGGGAACAGCTGGTGGGACCCTGGAGAAATGAGGCGTTGTTTCCGGTGTCTGGGGTGCAGTCACAGGAGCTCCGGTGCTTCATGAGTGGGGTGCAGTCAGGAGCTCTGGTGCTTCATGAGTGAATGCCTCTTTTTCTTGCAGGTGAGAAAGGTGTGAGGGTTGAGCTCAAGCCCAATTCAGTCAGCAAAGATGTCTAGCAGGGCCTGGGGTCCAGCAGTACCCGCGTCACCTACAGCCTCTCAGTTGCCTTCTGTGGACTCGTGGATACGTGGACAGGATGAACAGAGACACCTGCCTGGTATTTCAGCTGGGAGCCAGGCGACTTCACCAGGTGTCATCCAACAGAGGGCCCCATCTGCTGGGACTGTACTGTGTGGTCAGCTCCAGATCTGTGACTGCTCTTGGCTGCTGACTGGAGAGGAGACGCTGTCGGAGGAGAGTAGCTTTTCCATCTGGACACGAAACGAGGGCCCTTTTGTAGGATTTTCTTCAGTCTTCTATTTTTGCCAGACCTGTCACCTAACTGAGTTCATTTCATCTCTTTTTTATATCAAGTTTGAATTCGGGGAATTTTTGTATTAGGTACAATTTATCAAAACTGAATTAAGGAAAAAGAAATTTACAGTATTATTCTCAAAATAACATCAATCTATTTTTGTAAACCTCTTCATGCTATTAAATTTTGCCCTAAAGGCCTCCTACGATGGTTGTTGCCAGTGAATGATGATTCGTTTCTTCTGCCTGAAAGTAAAAGGAAGGACGCTGTGTCCCAGCTCAAGTTCATGAGGGTTTTCTTGGCCCGTCTCTCAGTGATTTGACCTAACAGTAGATGGTCAGTACCGCGCCCAGCTAACTCACAGTGATGAGAGGAAGCAAGCCGCAGGAAACGGGTTTGTCTCTTCAGTTAATTTTTTAAAGCTAAGTGACAGGCGCCAAATGAACTCAAGCACCTCCTCGGCTTCGGGTTCCCAAGACAAAGGGCTTTCTTCTGCGGCGGGCCTAGCCTGTCCACAGCCGTGTCCCACTGCCGCAGATTCCCCTGTGGCTTCTCCTTAGTTTGACTGTACTTCCTGACCCTTCCAGGTTGGGGCCGTGTTCTTGTGGCAGAGCACCTGGTGGCCCCAGGCACATGGATGTGTGTGGTTGTCGCCTTGATTGTGGTCATCAGCTCCTTGGACAGTGTGAGCCATGTTCATAACCAGTAATGAAGGCCGTGTGCTAGCTTAGAAATCAGAAGAGTTATAAGAGCATACTCTTTTGTTTTATGGGTTTTTCTCTTCTTAGAGGACAGAGGGACAACCACACAAGGTTGCCAGACTCCTGTCCCCTCTACAGTCCCCCTTAGAAAGCCAGAGTTTGCACAGATTGTGGGTGTAACTCCTGTCCCCTTAGGTGTTCTGTCTCCGACCTTGATCTTTGCCAAAATGTGTGTATGCAGAACTATTTCTGTGTATTTCCCTTTACACCAGTCTTAGCACCTGTGTAGTTTGTATCCAGTTAGAAACCTTTTCTATGGAAAGCTCAGTAATTCTTATTAAGAGATTGCTATTGTTCATGTAAAACATGAAAAAAACCAAGTTAAGGCTGAGTATGGATGGGGGCTCATGGCAGGAAATCTCCTTCTGACCCATATCCTCCGACCACACCTCTCCAGCAAGTGCCTCTGCCGCTGGCCAGCTCAAGGTTTGGCCGCCCGGCTCCGAAGCGCCATGTTGTTTCATGGTTGGGAGGAACTGTTTGGCGTTGGAGGCAGAGGGTCTGATTGACTGGAACAGCAGCATTTTAAATTCTGGAGACCCTGTAGTCCTTTGTATCTCAGACCTTTACTGACGTAAAGGTCCCAGGTTCTACGGCAGGGCATGGGGTGGGGTTATGCTTGCCAGACAAAATTTAAATTATATATCTTTTGGAAAGTGTGTGCTTTCCCAGAGGTCACTGTGAAAATAAAAAACAAGACAAGAAATCAGGAGAGTTATTCCCTTAATGTCCACTTAAAGTCAACTTCATGTTAGTGGCACTAAGCAGGATTCTGCTCTAAACCATGTGTGGCCTGTCTGTGTTAATCCTGGTGAAAGAGAAAGATTCACGACACTGTTTCAACACATTAAACAGGCAGGGCACGTCAGGATTTGCATAGAGATTAATGTGGTCTGGAAGTGGTGTGAAAATGAAAGCTCTCACGTTGCTTGTAAAGCTAATCTAATTAAAAAGATGTATAAATGTTCTTGGAAAAAAAAAACATAATTGTTGTCACCTCCAGCTGTCGTGTGTTTCCCAGCCTGTTACGATGGGCTTTCTCTGAGAGCCCATTGATCAGTTACTCACTGCCGTCCATGTCGGGTCTAGTCCACACATGCAGCAGTTCCCTTCTGTAAATGACAGAGCAAGCAGCCCGGAGATGCTCCAGGTGCAGAGACACGGTGGTCGGTGGCCACGCCCGCGTTCTCAGTACTGGCGTTCCTTCTTTCTCGGTAAGCTTTCCTGTTGCTTTAAGCCCCAAAGCTACCCTGTGCTGCTGAAGGAGGGGGTTTGGTACACACACCTGCAGGGCCCTTGGTATGCAGCTCTACACACGTTTGATTTTCAGTCATGTGCAAAGACACAAGAGTTTCGGGCGAAGTAATAGGACCTATTGTAGCTCCAAGAATCTAGTGTGGTGGGTGTGGTGACACACACCTTTAATTCTGGCGCTCGAGAGGCAAAGGCAGGAAGATTTCTGTGAGGCTGGCAAGACCCTGTCTCCAAAAGCCCAGCCGTCTGAGTGTGGTGTTGAATGTTGTATCTTCTCAGGGCATTTGGGATATGTTACTAAAATATGCAGTGGAGTGGGTTGGAGGATGAGTCTAAGCGTGGCCATGAAATAAAACATAGAATTGACACTCTTTAGTTTGTGTGCAACCTTCTGAGCCTTTTGTTTAGTTTTGGGACAGGGTCTTGCTTTTGCCCAGGCTGGCCTCAAACAGCAGTCCTGCTCAGCCTCTGTGGTACCCTAATACCCTGCTTTCACTTTTTAATATTCTGTGTTCACTTCCTCCTGGGTCCTTTGGCTATAAACTCCTGAGCCAGCCTGGGCTGGTGACCCTTTCTGCCCAGCTGGCTCCCTGGACCCATTTACTCAGTGTTGGGTTTTCCTGTTTTCCAACTCCTGGTGTCCAAGTTATGAGGGGAATAATCTCAACGTTGGCAACTCAGCCCCAAACAGGAACCCACACTGGAAAGCACTGCCTTACATCTTGAGGTATCTACTGTTCTAGTATGGCTCTTGGAAAGTCCTAGCGTTGGTTCTTTATGCTATGGAGTCTGTCAGAGACTCTGGAAGATTCTCATCCCTAGGCTTTATAATCTCACCTTGCTTGTCTTCACTTCTGGCTTTTCTCTGCCCTGGTAATATCACACCCCGCTGCCTGGCTGAGGCATTCTCTGCTCTTTTCAGATCTTTCCTGTTGCACAGTGGGGACAGGGCAACACATGAACTTAATTCCGGACATGTTCTTTTCTGGGAAGGAATTTCATTTCACCTATGAAGGTGAGTGCTGGAGGCAGCTGATCAGCTAGAAGCCCCACTGCCTTTGCAAGGCAAGGAAAATCAAGGAAACTTGAGACTTGGTCTTAACTGTACAGCATAAGAAAATCTAAATGCACTCAAACAGGCATTTTCTTGGTTAAAACTTAACACTTTAGAGATCTGTGTCCTCCGCTGGGGCACACTCCTGTATAAAGGAAGCAGTGTTGGTTGTGATTTTTTTTTTTTTTTTTTTTGAGATAGGTGCTCACTCTGAGGCCAGCCTGTGTAATCCTGCCTCACTGGGTGCTGGGATTACATTCTTGGCCTTATGTTTGTGTGTATATATATATGTAAGCATACAATGACTTCGTTTTTGAGACAGGGTCATACTCTGGGTGGTCTGGAATTTAAGAGACCTATCTGCCTCTGAGTACTGAGATTAAACATCTGTATCACTATGCCCAGTTATTCACAAATTATTATTTTTTTTTTAAACTTTATTTATTTATTTATTATAAGTACACTGTAGCTGTCTTCAGACACCCCACAAGAGGGCATCAGATCTCATTGCAGATGGTTGTGAGCCACCATGTGGTTGCTGGGATTTGAACTCATGACCTCTGGAAGAACAGTCAGTGCTCTTAACCACTGAGCCATCTCACCAGCCCCACAAATTTTTTTTTTTTTTTTTTTTTTTTTTTTTTTTTTTTTTTGGTTTTTCGAGACAGGGTTTCTCTATGTAGCCCTGGCTATCCTGGAACTCACTCTGTAGACCAGGCTGGCCTCGAACTCAGAAATCCACCTGCCTCTGCCTCCCAAGTGCTGGGATTAAAGGCGAGCGCCACCACCGCCCGGCTTCCCACAAATTATTTTTAATACACTACACAGAAACCTGTCTTAAGTCTTTAACAAGGAGATAGCTAACTCTGAGCAAACACATAGTGTAAAAGAGAGATGGGTGAGTAGGATCAGTAGAGACTGAGGGTTGAAACTAAGTTTGCAAGGCTTCAAAGTAGGCAGATTTTTAAAGACTTTCACCTAAACATCCTTGGCTGGTTGCCTATGGCAGGGAGTTGGTCTTGCTACCAGCGGACTGAGAAACAGGATAGCAAATGTGTGACCTCATTCCTGTGCCCCACATCCTGGCTTAAGTCTGAGATGACATCGGGAGCCTCTGGTGTCTGCCCTGTAGAGTGCACCACACAGGAGCATATACTTGTAGACAGCTTCCCAGTTTATCTTTTACTGACCACGGCCATCTTCTCTAGTCTATGGAGATTATGAGCCAAACTAAGTGTGGTCTAATATTCTGTATCAAGGTAAGGGGAGGAAAGGCCCCAGCTCTACTAAACACGACGAGACCACCGCAGCTGTCAGGCAGCCCACCTCGTTACCTTAAGAGGTCTGGGCAGTGTAGTTCAGTGGCAGAGCACTTACCCTGCTCCTGAGGGTTGGGATTACGTTCTTGGCCTTATGTTTGCATGTGTCATCTGTAAGCATACAAATGTAAATTTGTGAACGTAGTTTATGAGGAGCCAGGGCCCATCCTCAGCACCACAAAAATCAAACCAGAAAAACACATCAACCACTTTACATCAAAATATTGTTTATTTTTAAAATCTAAAGCTTTGAAAAAATACAATCTTAGAGCTTTGGAACAAGAAGAATGAGGTTTAGTGTTTTCATTTACCTCAGAGGTCCGAGTTAGGATGTGTGCTCAGTTGGCCAAAGCCAAACAAAGGTTTCTCACATTGCTTTTAGCCAGCGTGGAACTGGGATGTAAGCACACATTCTGTAGAGACAGGGCTACGGCTGTGGCCCTGTAGTACAGAGCTGAGACAACTTTAGCTTCACTGTAAGGTTAGAAATTGTTTCCAAAGGAAGAATACAAACAAAAATTCACCGTTCCCTGATAAAATGACAGATAAAAGGGAAAATACTCTTGGGGTGGATCTCTAGCAGTTGGGCTCATTGCATTCCCACCTTCCAGCATTCACACCACGCTCAGAAGCTGGTGTAAGCGAGGCTGCACCTGGGTACTGTGCACACCTCTGTCACTTTTGTCCCTTCTTGTCACTGCATAGTTGGTTAGCAGATACAGCAGGTGCAGTCCTACCCTCAGCCTGGCTAGGCCTTTCTACACTCTCCTCCCTCCTGCAGTCGGCTCAGATCTGACATTCCATCCAGCTCAACATCCTGTGTTTCCACAGGACGTGCTCAGTTCTCTCCCTCCTGAGGCCCTTCCCCTTCCTTAACAAGCTAACTCAACTCACTAAGAAACAGTGCCAGAGTGAAAGCCTGACCAGCACATCCTAAGGCACTAACAGGAACTGCATGCTCCCCTCACGGAGGATGTCGCTCCTGACAGGCATGGACCACACCACCTACTTCACTTCATAGCCCTACAATGTTATGCAGTCTGGCACAAAAATATTTAATTGTCTATAACCTATTAAATTGGTGAAAGTGTCATATATCCAAACAAAAAACTTTAATAGCTATTTACCTATAAACATTAAATACTATTTAACTTCATGCTTTAAGAAATATCAAAACTTGTTATCCAATGTGACAGGCTAAAGATCCTGTCAGGAATGCTGAGAGGCCGGCAGTGGCACACTGCTGGGGGGAGAAAGCTGACCACAGACACCCTGTGACAGTCTCACTCCTGAGGGGGTGTTGTCAGCATCGCCTAGCCCTGCACTGGGACACTTCCAATGGTTCACTAATACTGGGGAGAGGGGGAAACTTCTAGTTACCTTTAAATTCTACAGAAGAATGAAAATAAGCCTACACAGTAACAAAGACACTACCTACTCACAAACTGTGACCTTTGGGCATGCAGAAGGTAGGCCCTGTGAAGGGACTACAGCAGGACTCTCCCAGCCTCCCTGGGGGGAGGTAAAGGAGGAAGTTATACAGGGGAACAACAGACAAACCAGGTTCACCCCAACGCTCACAAGATCTGTGCACCTTGTAGTAAAGTCAGCAAGGTGGAGGGACAGACATGAGACAAAACAAACTGAGCCACATGTCTGTGTCCCTCTGCCCGAACTCGGAAGACAACCACCCAGGGCTCAGATGATCACCTTTTGTTTGCACTCTGGCGTAGAGTTCACAGTGCTGCCCCGGCATTTTCTGCTCTCCAGGGAATCGGGCAGCTTTGTGAGATGTTACACATCAGTTCCATTTTAGCACCAAGTTTAACCATTCACTTAAGTCCCCATCAAATCTGGCCTGCAGAACTGAGTCACCGCCTTAACATCCGGAACAACTATACTGTACGTTCAGCATCCACTTTACTCTCAATTCTGCAACCATCACTTAGAAAATAAAAGATGGGACAGAGAAAGAAAAAAGAAAAAAAACAAAAACAAAACAAACAAAAAACTTTTTTTGAGACATGGTCTCACTATAGCCCACACTGGAGCTTAAGGCCAGGCTGCTTTAAACCCCACAACCATCCTCCTGCCTCAGCCTCCCAAGTACTGGGATTTTAAACATGTATTGTCATAAGCTAGAAAGATTCTTTAAAATATGAGTCTTTAAAATCTGCTGCCACTTTTTAGTAAAAGTGGGAAAAATTATATACATAAATATACATATTATATTTAAAATATAAATTACTGAGAATATAGAAGTCTTTAAAATTTGCTACCACCTTTATGTAGAAAGTAAAATCTTTTAAAATATAGAAAGTTTATCTGCTGTTAGGATTTTAAAATAAAAAAGACAAAACTCTGAGTACTTTTAGGACAACTATTGTTTTTCATACTATCTGAACAAAGTGTCAGACCTCAAAAAGTTTAACATCAGCTTAGAGAATGGAGCTTAACATTAAAAGTATTCAACTGTCAGGACTCCTGATAAGCCTATCTTGAGAATATATAAATAAAAATAGTAAGTACTCTAAAACCTTCATGAACAAACCAAACCAAACAAACCCAAAAGTACATACAGCCATACACGAACACCAGACAAATGGAGCCCATGTCCTGGTAAGGCGTGGCTGAACACGCCCCACTGACACCGAAGCTCCTGAGAGGCTGCCTGCATTACCAGGTCACGCATGGGCTGATGCTGCCCCGACTCATCTTCCTGTGCATCTGCTATTGCAGGGACACCCCTGGATGGAGACGCAGACTTCAACTACAACTGCTCACTGAGTGTATGTAAAACATGACACTGTGCTGGTGCAGTAAGTCAGACTGTAACCCACAGGTCCTTCACCTGCCAGGTGACACCACCACAAAATGACAGGCGGTGTAGGACCCACTCCATCTCACACTCTTCGAGGTCGCAGGTTGGTTTTGTTGCCTTCCAGGCAGCGGTCCAAGTGCTCATTAATCTGCGACTCCAAAACCACGCCTTGACACACTGGACAGTTGACCAGCCTTCGCTGACTGCCGGAGCTCCGAGGTGTGCTGGCGGCTGTGGGCCGTGAGCTATTCTGAAGGTCACCACCTCTCTGTGTTTGCTCTTTGATATTATCCAAAGCAGTCCTGTCCTCCAACCTGGGTCGCTTGCTTAGGAATTGGTCTTCAGACCCACTCTCCTCTCGGGACATGGCTGTGGGTGTCCCAGCTGCAGATGTCACAGTTGCTGATGCTGATGCCGTGACTTTGGAGGCATTTCTCAGGGATGCCCTGGAAGGTGGAACCTTTCTCTGAGAGCCTGCTGAGGCAGAAAGCTTGGTACCATCCCCAGTGGTCCCGCTCTTGACTGGGGATCCATTCACATTTCTGAAAGCCTTTTGGTTGGCAACAGAGACTCTGGGGAAGTAGCTGCTCAGGACACTTTGGTGACTAGCAGTGGGAAGAGGGGTGACAAGATGAGGTTTCTTTGGGAGACCATTCTGTTCACATTTCACCTCAAAGTTGGAAGTGAGCCTCAGGCCACTCGGTGACTGGTCTTGACTTGAGAGCCCTTTGGCTTCATTAACCATGTGTGAGGTGTTCAGCTTCCCCGCTGAAGGACAAGTGCTTGTGTCTCTGAGAACATAGCCTTTCCCACTGAACGGGACGAGCGGCTGGACCTCCCCTCTACACAGCGTGTCTGCAAAGGAGACAAGACTTCCTCAACACACAAACACTGAGCAAATGACGGTTATCAAAAATGAAGGATTGTTCTGTTCTGAGATCTGTGCAGTAGCCACCTACTAACAAGAAGGCAACCTTCAGTAGTCAGCCCTGCACTGAAAGAACAGGAAGGATGGAAGGAATCATAGATAAAAGAATCCAACACCAAGAAGGAGTGTTCCCAGGACAGTACTGACTCCTCTCATCTGCCCCGGGCTCCTCTGTGTTTCACGTTAGGATCTACAGTTCGGCTCCCAAGGCCGACCCCACCAAATGGACAAACTTGCAAGGGGAAGGTCAGCTTAAGCAACTGCTGCCTCCTCAGGAGCTTCAGAGGAAAAGGAGCAGATCCTGAGGATGACCCTGGACAAAGGAAGGCGTATTCCTTTCCCATCCTCCCCATCCCCCTCAGAAGAGGTCACTAGCTTGCCTAGTGGCTTCGGGTGGTCAGGATTCACACCCTGGTGTTGTTACCTCCCTCTGACACCCGTTTGCTTAGACTCTCCCTCAGATACTGCCAATGGAGACTTCTTCACCTTCCCTCCCTTTTACAGTCTGTGGCTGCTGTGTGCTCCTTACGCTGAAAAGGCCTGCAGTGGAGCAGCCCCAGCACTAACCCTCCCCTAGTTCACTGACACACTGGCCAGGCTCACACCCCTGGGAGACAGGATGGAGAGGTACCTTTATTCTCTACTGACGATGCTGGCTGCTTGCCTGCTTTTGTCTTTCCTCTGTTTTTCTTAGCATAGTTCTCGGGCTCCTTGATTTTTATGTAAGTGCCTCCACAAGTTTTCTGGTGGTCAGCCCACCAGTAGTCGTGAGCGGAGGGTGCCCTGTTGGTGGCACGCTTCACATAGCCGTAGTAGGGCTGCTTGTGCTGGCAGGGCCCGTTGCAGCGCCACCAGTGCCGGCGGTACTCATCCACCTCGTCGTGGAAAGTGTGGTAGACCTGAGCAGAGGGAGTGCCCAGCAGTCAGGACAAGGTAGCTAATCGAACGAGATATTACCCAGGCAGTCTTTTTGAGATATCCCATAGTTCCATTTGGAGATAGCTACTATATTTAGTTTCTTTTCAAAAGTTCACTATACTGGGAGACATCAGGTAATGTAAAACCCCCTACTGCGTAAAGAGAGAGGCGTATAAAATAAAGGATTCTGGTGGGGGAAAAAACCAGAAAACACCTCCATGAATGCAAATATTGCAGAGAGTGAACAACATCAGACTCGAAGAGGTTTACCATAACACCTTAATAAGCTGCCAACAGGGAGAAAGAGCTGAGACCATGGGGCTGGAGAGAGGGCTCAGCAGTTCAGAGCTCTGGCTGCTCTTACAGAGGACCCTGGGTTCAATTGCCAGCACCCACAATACAGCTCACAACTGTAACTCCCATAAAGACACATGCAAGCAAAGCATCAGTGCACATAAAATGTTAGAAAGCACACATAGTTCCTTAAGTTCCTAGAAATGATAAAAACTGCTAACGGGCTGGACCCACAGCCAGATCCTTCCTAAGGCAGCACACAAAACCCACAGTTAACAACATGTCATAGTACTCAGGGTGCTAAGATATTGCACATCCTTACTGTCAAGATCTCACAAAGCAGGCACTGCTGTTACACCATTGCACAGCAGCAGGTAGTTCCACAAGAGTTCAGTTCAGCACACCTTAGCCCTAGCTGTGAGACCTCCTCCAACACTGTCCCTGTCGGGACAATGAGGGGCTGTCACAGATGTGGAAGAATTTAGGATGGGCTGGAGCTACTCCTGAAGGTCGAGAAAAGTATAATCATGCCTGACATGCTGACCTGCAGCTGCTGGAAGCCTCAGCGAAGAGGCCTGCTGGCTCCTTCGACACTCCGCCCCTAGAGCCTCGATGGTAGGCCTCTTGTTCAAGGCTGAAAATCTGTTACTTTTACTGAATGAATGGCTACTGGGTTTGGTGGCACATACCCATAATCTCACCACTCAGGAGGCTGAGTTAGAAGTGTGAGTTTGGCCGGGCGGTGGTGGCGCACGCCTTTAATCCCAGCACTTGGGAGGCAGAGGCAGGCGGATTTCTGAGTTCAAGGCCAGCCTGGTCTACAGAGTGAGTTCCAGGACAGCCAGGGCTACACAGAGAAACCCGGTCTCGAAAAACCAAAAAAAAAAAAAAAAAAGTGTGAGTTTGAAGCCAGACTGGTCTACATGGTCTACACAGGAAGACCCTGATCTTTCCTGCTCCCCAAACCTATGTGGCTCAATATACCGTTATGTTGGCTCCTGTCAGTTGGTTGATTCGATGCATATGTTTACAGAACTCTGGGCCGTGTCCTTCCCGGTCTTTATCATTATTAGTGACAAATAAGTAGGCATGTATCATTTCGTGCAAAAGAGTCTGAAACAGAAAACCAGTGTATTAATTTTCTAGAGGAAGTCTGAAGAGAACATGAATTCTCTTTCTTAACCTGCAGTCTTAGCCTTCCACAGGCCCAAGTACAAACCTTTACGTATAATATTCCAAGCTCTGCAGAACCCAGTAAACAATCCTCTTCACAGAATTAACATTGCTCAAGAAGGCCCATTTAACTACCAACCCAAACCCAAAAGGTTAGTCAATCCAACCAAAAAAAAACTTTAAAATCCTGATAAGAGTCAAAACTCTACAGACTCAAGATGCCAACATGGAAATGCTAACACTGAAAGAGCAAACAGTCCAGGTCTGAATGGCCACTGGGCATGATGTGTACGTGTGGTCCTACATCTCAAGGTGGAGGCAGAAGGCTCAGGAGTTTGAGATCAGCTTGGCTACATAGGGCTCTGCCTCCCTCACCATCAACCCCCCTAAAAATATCTGGGGACTCAAATGCTAGCTCACTGGGGAAGAAGAAGCCAAGAGAAGCATTAAGACTAGGGCCAACCTAAGGAACAGAGACCCTGTCTCTTAAAATCAACAAAATATTCTGGCCAGGAATGGTGGCACACAGCTGTATATCCTTGGGCTGAGGCAAGAGGATCTTGTGGTTGAAGCCAGTGTGGGCTACTATCAAGAACCCATCTTTAATAAATAGATAAATCCTGCAAACGAATGAGTTGAGAACCAGGCTTGTGTAAAGAATACCTCTACGAGGTCCTTTCTCGGTCTTAGTTTTAACAGGGGCTCACTGAGACGGATAGAGCACATGCCTCCTCTCCCTTCATAGGTGCAGATCCCAGCACACCTGGAAAACAGTCACAGCATTAGATTAGGTCCAGCAAATACACAAAGGAGACAGAAGAGAACAGAAAACAAAAATAACAAAAAACGAACCCTAGCCTGGCATGATGGCGCAGGCCTTGAATCCCAGCACGGGGGAGGCAGATACAGGAGGATCTCTAGAGTTCTAGGACGGATACTGTCTCTCAAAAAAAGGGGTGGGGAGGCAACAAATCCTTATCAGTTCTTGGGTAGTTCACAGGAAAAAAAAAAGTCCCTGATGGAGGATGGCTTTCCTGAGTTGGGACACTTGGCTGCAGAGAGTTAACACTTGCTCACCCTCACCCACTGTTACCCGCTCTGCTCCGCACTGGCACGCACGGGCACTTCTCCCAAAAGGGTCATCATAGGGCTGGTGTGAGGTTAGAAGTACACCACGGGCTTAGCCTGCTTTACCTCAGAGGCTGCTATGCGACGGAGTAAGTGCAGGGCGGATTACTATCTCCAATAGGATCTCTCAAACTCAGTGGGTAGATAAGGGATGGGCCGTTGGGCCCGGGGCTGGGGTGTGGGCAGGACTCCCGGTGACCTCTCCCTGCACCGCGAGGCGGTGGGGGGGGGTGGAGGGGGCACCAACGACAACTCAGCGGCCCTCGCCCTTCCCTACGTTCCGAGCCGTTCGCGGGGCGCACTCACAGCGTCATGCGCACACTCCACTTCACCTCCACCGCCTCCAGCTGACCCCAGAAGAAGCGATCGTTAAACTGCAGGAAGAGCGCCTGCAGGTCCGGGGTGGGGTCCACCAGCTCCCAGGACGCGTCCACCAACGACACGGGCTCCCGCGCCGCCGCCGCGCGCCGCGCCACCTGCACGTCCCACTCCTCCTGCAGCCGCAGCGCGACCACCAGATCCTCGTCCATAACGCTGCTCCCACCACCTCAACCGCTCCCAAGACGCCGGTCGGGCTCGTGCGGGGCACGGATCTCGCGAGACGTCCCGGCCCCGCTGTCCCGTCGCGCGGGCTCGCTTCGAACGCCTAACGGAAGGTGGCTCGGCGATGCCCCGCGGGCACAGGTTTAGGAACGCTGGGCTCGGGCTAAGGACGGCTTCAGGAAGCCAGCTGTCTCCTGATCGCCGCTGAGATCCAGCGCCTCACGTCAAGTCTGGTCCGTGCCCGACCCTCCTCTGACTTCCGTACTGGCTCGTTCGCGCACGCGCCTTGAGACGCTGCCGTTTCCGCGCAGGCGCGTCCTCAGCACTCCGCCCCCGGCGCAGGCGCAGTGTGAGAGTCTTGACTCTGGCACAGGCGCAATGCAACGCTCAGCCCCGGCGCAGGCGTTTGGGTGTTGCTTCCGCCCCGCTTCCTGGGCCGCCTTCTCCACCGGGCTCGGGTGGGGCCCGGAGGCGGCGAGTGACAGCAGCCACAGCGGGCCGCGGGAGCAGGGCTGGTGGCAGCCATGTCGGACAGCGGGGCGAGCCGCCTGCGGAGGCAGCTGGAGTCGGGGGGCTTCGAGGCTCGGCTGTACGTGAAGCAACTGTCGCAGCAGTCGGACGGCGATCGCGACCTGCAGGAGCACCGGCAGCGGGTGCAGGCGCTGGCGGAGGAGACGGCGCAGAACCTGAAGCGCAACGTCTACCAGAACTACCGGCAGTTCATCGAGACGGCGCGCGAGATCTCCTACCTGGAGAGCGAGATGTACCAGCTGAGCCACCTGCTGACTGAGCAGAAGAGCAGTCTGGAGAGCATCCCGCTGGCACTGCTGCCCGCCGCCGCCGCTGGCGCCTCCGCGGGTGAGGACACGGCGGGCGCGGGGACGCGGGAGCGCGGGGCGGCCCAGGCGGGCTTCCTGCCCGGGTCGGCGGGCGTCCCTCGCGAGGGTCCCGGGACTGGCGAGGAGGGCAAGCAGCGAACTCTCACCACGCTGCTGGAGAAGGTGGAGGGCTGCAGGGACCTGTTGGAGACGCCAGGTCAGTACCTGGTGTACAACGGGGACCTGGTGGAATACGAGGCGGACCACATGGCCCAGCTGCAGCGCGTGCACGGCTTCCTCATGAACGACTGTCTGCTGGTGGCCACCTGGCTGCCCCAACGCCGGGGCATGTACCGCTACAACGCGCTCTACCCGCTGGACCGCCTGGCGGTGGTCAACGTCAAAGACAACCCTCCCATGAAAGACATGTTCAAGCTGCTCATGTTCCCCGAGAGCCGAATCTTCCAGGCGGAAAATGCCAAGATTAAACGCGAGTGGCTGGAAGTGCTGGAGGAAACCAAGAGGGCGCTCAGCGACAAGAGGAGGCGGGAGCAGGAGGAGGCAGCAGCCCCGCGTGCGCCACCACCGGTCACTTCCAAGGGCAGCAACCCGTTTGAGGAGGAGGATGACGAAGAACTGGCCACCCCCGAGGCAGAGGAGGAAAAGGTTGACCTGTCCATGGAGTGGATCCAGGAGTTGCCCGAAGACCTGGATGTTTGTATTGCACAGAGGGACTTTGAGGGTGCCGTGGACTTGCTGGACAAGTTAAATCACTACCTAGAAGATAAGCCCAGCCCACCTCCCGTGAAAGAGCTGAGGGCCAAAGTGGATGAACGAGTGCGACAGCTCACCGAGGTGCTTGTGTTTGAGCTCTCCCCGGATCGCTCTCTGAGAGGCGGCCCAAAGGCTACTCGAAGGGCGGTGTCCCAGCTGATCCGGCTGGGCCAGTGCACGAAGGCTTGCGAGCTGTTTCTGAGGAACAGGGCAGCAGCCGTGCACACTGCCATCCGCCAGCTTCGGATCGAGGGTGCCACGCTGCTCTACATTCACAAGCTGTGCCACGTCTTCTTTACCAGCCTCCTAGAGACTGCAAGGGAGTTTGAGACAGACTTCGCAGGCACGGACAGTGGCTGCTACTCTGCCTTTGTGGTCTGGGCAAGGTCTGCAATGGGCATGTTCGTGGATGCTTTCAGCAAGCAGGTCTTTGACAGCAAGGAGAGCCTGTCCACGGCTGCTGAGTGTGTGAAGGTAGCCAAGGAGCACTGCCAGCAGCTGGGAGAGATCGGGCTGGATCTCACCTTCATCATCCATGCCCTTCTGGTGAAGGACATCCAGGGGGCCTTGCACAGTTACAAGGAGATTATCATTGAAGCCACCAAGCACCGAAACTCAGAGGAGATGTGGCGTCGGATGAACCTGATGACTCCTGAGGCCCTGGGCAAGCTCAAGGAGGAGATGAGAAGTTGTGGGGTCAGTAACTTTGAGCAGTACACGGGAGATGACTGCTGGGTGAACCTGAGCTACACAGTGGTAGCCTTCACCAAGCAGACCATGGGCTTCCTGGAGGAGGCCTTGAAACTGTACTTCCCAGAGCTGCACATGGTGCTCCTGGAGAGTCTGGTGGAAGTCATACTGGTTGCTGTGCAGCATGTGGACTACAGCCTGCGGTGCGAGCAGGACCCCGAGAAGAAGGCTTTCATCAGACAGAATGCATCCTTTCTCTATGAAACCGTCCTCCCAGTGGTGGAGAGGAGGTTTGAGGAAGGTGTGGGGAAGCCTGCCAAGCAGCTGCAGGACCTTCGGAATGCGTCTAGACTACTGCGGGTGAATCCCGAGAGCACCACTTCTGTGGTCTGAGGCTCTGGTTCACTGTGCGTGTGTGTGCGTGTGTGCGTGTGTGTGAATGTGTACATGTACTAGAGATGCATTCTTTGTATTTACATTACATAATGTCAACACATTCCTCAGAGACACAAACAGCATATAAAAGTGTCCTCTTAAAAATGCAGTCAAAAGAAGAACGATAATATCTTAAGCGCCACCCCTCCCCTCAGTATTGGGATTGTTAGAACATACACCATGGTTTTTTTTAAAAAACTCTTTTAAGGAGTGTATGGTCATACCAGAGCATTTCAGGTTCCTCTTTAACTTGAAACACGTCTGACAGTAGCACATCCAGGAGCACTACACTTCTATGCTGCCTAGAAAAATATGTAAGTCCACAGGGTTTAAGTATGTTGTGAAGCATTCCAGTTCAACAAAATGGCTTCTTAATGGTCAGTGCTGTGTAACACACCTGTGTCATGTACTCCTGAATCAAATCAACTTGGAAAGAAATGAGTTGGGAAAATTGGTTTGGGATAGATTTGAATAAATGGGCCCCAGATTCTTCAGTATTTGCAGCGTGTGGAAGGAAGTCTTCATAAAACTTTGCAGGCATCCAATAGTCACTGAAAGGAAGCATGTTCCAAGGCTAATTAGATGCATCTTTTTTCGGGGGTGGGGTGGGGAAATCACAAGGACTACGTTGAAATTTTAACATATTCCAGAACTGAATGGATTTGCTGCTTCAACACATTTTGCCATGTTCAGTGAGTCTTGCTGAAAAGTCACACCAAGGATCCTAGCAGTAGGCGGGTCAGTGACCCCAGGCCCTGCAGACACTTCACCACCAGCCTGGGTTTGAAGACTTCTGGCAAATGCAGAACTCCCTATTTGAGTAATTAGAGTTCAGGATGTCTGTAGATTAGGAGTTAAAAAAAAGAATGCAGTGTCACTCCTTAAGAATGCCAGAGATTTGTTTTTGGTTGTCTTCTTGATAGGTTTCAGCCCAGACTGGTTTTGAGCTGGCTTTGTAGTCAAGGATGACCTTGAATTTCTAATCCTCCTGACTCCACTTCCCAAGGGCTGGGATTACAGGTATGTGCCACAATCCATTTATACTGCGTTGGAGAACAAACCCTGACTTTGCTCATACTAGGCAAACACCCTACCCACTGCTCCCCCTGCTGCCTGACAGGTTTTTGTAACTTAGTAACTGAGTGGAGACACACCTCAAGCACAGGGAAGGGACCTGCTGCGACTCCTCAAATGCTGTGCTGCATTTTAAAAAATGAGTCTAGCATGCTGGTGCACACTTTTAATCAGAGCACTGGGAGGCAGGGGCAAGTGGATCTCAGAGTTCAAGGCCAGCCTGATCAACAAAGTGAATTCCAGGACAGCCAGGGCTCTGTAGAGAGACCCTGCCTTAGTAAAAACAACTTTTAAGAGAATTCCAGATTGTAATACTTATTTCAGGTTGTCCAGTAAAGAGAAAGGCGGGTAGGTGGGAACCCCTAAGATTTCTAAAATGAGCTCTGCTTTATCTTAATGTTCTGTTAGAATGCGTTTGCTGAGACCCATTTTCGCACTAGCTTGTAACTGTGGTTTTTCTCCATGACACATGTTTTTATGTCCATTGGTTCTAAAGATTATCTCTTGTCTGAATAAAAAAGGTAGTAGTAAGCCATAAAATGATGTAAAACCCTAAATGGTTTCTGCAGTGATTCACAGTTAACCTCCTCGGCTTCACTGACTCAAGTCAGGCCAGCAGTCTCTCTCTCTTTTTTTTTTTTAGCTCTCCATACATAGAAAGATCGCTGAGATCGCCATTACAGACTTTCACTTTTTCCATGTTAGGGTGTGTTGTTTTAAATGACAGGGTCTATGAAGACCAAGCTGGCCTTGAACTCACAGAGATCTTGCCTCTGCCTCCTGAGTACTGGGATTAAAGTTGTGCTCCACTATGCCTTGCTAAGTTAGAATTTTCTACATGACCATATCTGGATGTCCTAGCCAAACAAATATACTGATTTCTCTTAAGATCACTGGAAACTTGAATTTCATAGAATTGTGTGGTTGTGATGATTATTTGGTGCCACTTGGAGTTTAATAAATGAAACATGCTGTGTGGAGATGGCATAGCTGTAAGAATGCTGACGTGTTTCCCCCTATAATAAATGGCTGTAACTTTATGGAAATGGAGAACTTTATTCTAAGAATGGACTAATGTGTTCCTCTGTGTAGCTGAGGGAATGCAGTCTGGGGAATCTGTGCAGGAGGTGACTGGATCCCCCTTGGGTGCCAGATACTTGGTATTCACTGTCCTCGTAAGATCCAGTCAGCTCCTCTGATTCCCATGCTTCATTAGACTCTGACTAAAGCTTGAAGGATTGTCCAACACTGGTAGTTCCATGCATGCTGACATGCTATGACAACATTTGTCACCTTTTGTTTGCTTTAAAACTAACTGCATAGACCGGGAATCACACAGACTGGGTTAATTTTGGTTAGAGTATTGCGCCTCTGATGAGAGCCTCCTGTCACTTAAGTGCTCAAAGCCATTTCTGTTCAAGAAATTACCGTGATTGCCAGCACATTCATCTTGCACCTGGTGTTGGATGTAACTCAGGCTAAGACGCTGGGGCTTGCTGTAGAAGATGAAAGCATTGTCATACTGCACTTGGATATACCGTGAGAGACAACCTTTAAACTGATAAAGCCGTATAGCCTTCTCACACTGGATAGAATTGATTGCTGTTATAACATTTTATGTTTACTATTTGTTTACTTATTTTGAGACAGGGTCTCACTCTAGTCCTGGCTAGCTTAGAATTCTCTATGTAGAGCAGGCCAGCATTGAACTTAGAGATCTATCTGCCTCCAATTAAAGGCTCATACTCTGCTCTTTTATCTTTTATTCTAAGGCAGGGTTTCTCTGTGTAGCCTTGTCTGTCCTGGAACTTGCTCTGTAGATCAGGCTGACCTCAAACTCAGAGCTCCAGCTGTCTCTGCCTCCTGAGCACCGGGATTATAGAGCAGGTACCCCCACCACCTGGCTTCTTTAGTTATCTTTATATTCTTATGTTCTTCTTACTTCTCTTTTATGTGGGGAGGAGAGAGACATAGAAGATGCTTTTAAGTAGTTTGCATAGTGTCAGAACTGTGAAGAAATGATGTTTTGATCATGCTGGGGATGAAACTCAGGGCTTTGCAAGTACTTGAAGCAACAATCGAGGCCCCAGAAAACCCAAGATGTTTAGGATATCCTTGAGTGGGAAACTTCAGGTAGACAAGGTGAGAATCTTAAAAGCGTCACATCACTGGGTGGAAAATAAGGCACTGTACAGTTAAAGGACCAAACACAGGGCTTCATTCATGTTGCCTGTCGGTCTTTCAATGTTTAAAAATAGGACAAAGTTAACAAAAAGAGCTGTGTGCAGCAGAAACACCCACGCAGTGTACTTTCAAATGTGGCAGTTTCTCATAGAACTACTGGCAGGTATGGGTGTGAGAAGAAGGGAGGCATGCTCTATGGGCAGATGTGAGAAGACTCCATGTCTGGAAGAGACCTTCATGAAGGGACTGCAGAGCTCAGACAGGTGTGTAAGAGAAAGCAGCAGCCATCGGTGCCAGGCGACCCTGGCAAGCTGTATGTGCGCCCTCCCCCAGAATTCATACAACTGCTTTCTTGCTTCATTCACTCAAGTATTTCAAATCATCTTTTCTGTAGCTGCACTTCCCTGGGGTTCTCCTGAGATGGAGTAGCCTTCATAGTTAATAAATCATAACTTTCATTTTCTGGTAACTGTGTTAGGTTTTTATATGTTTATAATACTTATATTAATATTAAAAAGTATTCCCAGCTAGGTGTGATGACACACATTTTTACTTCCAGAATTCAAGAGTCAGAAGAAAGGGGATCTCTGGGTAGACAAGGTTACCCCCGATGAGACTCTTTCTTAAAAAAAAAAAAAAAAAAAAAAAAAAAGAGCCAGGCTTCTTGGTACACTCTTTTATCCCCAGCACTTGGGAGGCAAAGGCAAGCAGATCTGAGTTGGAGGCTAGCCTTGATATATAATGAATTCCAGGACAGCTAGGACTACATAGAGGGTGTCACAAAAAAACAAAGGAGGAAGATGATTAGAGATGATTAGGATACCTGGGACAGGTAGCTGGGTCCTTTTTTTTGTTTGTTTTGTTTTGTTTTGTTTTTCGAGACAGGGTTTCTCTGTATAGCCCTGGCTGTCCTGGAACTCACTCTGTAGACCAGGCTGGCTTCAAACTCCACCTGCCTCTGCCTCTCAAGTGCTGGGATTAAAGGCGTGTGCCACCACGCCGGGCAGGTACCTGGGTCCTTAAGAACACTTGCTGCTCTTGAGGACGGGTTCAGTTCCCAGTACCCAAAATCATTAGTCCACCTTCAGCAAATGACACCTTCTGACCTTGGGTACTGCACACACGTGTGCATGCATACACACACATGTATTATGTAAACAAAAATCTTTTTGAAAACTTCCAGGAAAAGTTATACATATGGATAGATTGTGTGTGTATAATATATGCCTTTCCTTAGTTATCTTGTTTATGGAAATACATGTATAAAATTCCTGTCTAGGTACTGCTGTGCCGAACTATCCCTTTTGTTGTGATGTACATTAACCTATCTACTGTGAGCTGCACATGTCTCCACTGGTAGTGCTTCTCCTGGCCTTTTAGTTCCTCCTTCAGTCCTCTGGCCAGACTTGACCTTGGCAGAAGAAATGGCCTTGTGGATCCAGGTCCCTCTTGTCACTGTTTTGATGCAGGGACCACGATGCCAGATGCCCATTGTCCGCTTCTTCTACGCAGCCTTGGCACAGGAGCAGTTAACTTGGTGTGATGGCTGATTTCAACTTTACTCACCATTTTCCTAGAGGTGCCAGAGTGGGTCCTGTAGCTACCCAAGATGCCTTCTTGGTGCATTTGCTGTGACACAGACCTAATCCCATAGAACCAAACTATCCTTTTTTTTTTTTTTTAAAGATTTATTTTATTTATGTGAGTACACTGTCACTGTCTGCAGACACACCAGAAGAGGGCATCAGATCTTTTTACTGATGATTGTGAGCCACCATGTGGGTGCTGGGAATTGAACTCAGGACCTCTGGAAGAGCAGATGGTGCTTTTAACCACTGAGCCATCTCTCCAGCCCCTAAACTATCCTTTCTTAATTTAGATAAACACTGCCAAAACTGACCACCAGGAAAGTTGTGGGTTGGCCAACAAAACAAGAACATTTCTATCTCCATTAATCCTCATAACTATTCGTTTTGTGGTAAATGTAGACTTATCATGTAGTAAGATTAAACAATCTTTTTTTTTTTTTTTTGAGCAAGAGCCTGTGTAGCCTGGAACCTGTGTGGAAGCCTGTATAGATCAGGTTGGTCTTGAGCTACAGGACCCCGGTGCTGCTGCCTCATGTGTAGATAGGTGTCACCACACCAGGCTTCTTCGTTCAGTTATGTGAACGTGTCTTGGTGGTGAAAGCAGGTGTTAGAGCCCTGGATCTGGAGTCCCAGGTGTTCTGGGCCACCTAATGTAGGTGGCAGGATATGAACTCAGGTCCAGTGGAAGAGCAGCAAGTCCCCAACGCTATAAACACTGCATGACAGTGCATGCCTGTAATCTCAGCATTGAGTTAGGCAGGAGGAGCAGAGGCTCATTCATCCTCAGCTACCTGGTGAGTTCCAGATCAACACCTGACTGGTGACAGCCCAGCTCAGGCCAGCAGCATGAGCGTGTTGACATGTGGTAGGTGACTGCAGCGGATAGAGCTGCGACCTGCCCACCACCGTCCACATCCAGGATTGCTGTTAAATGTCACTGCTTATTTCAACATGCAGGAATCCCCTCTAGCTTCCCAAAGCAGCAGACGGACAGAGGACCTGCCTGTCCCTTGTGGCCTAGTGCAGTGGCTGCCCTAGGCCCTGGGAATAGATGCATGCATGACCTGGGGAATTTGGAGACAGAACCACACAGCGTGTTTCTGTGACTTTGCTTGGTTCTTAGACTCAAATGCCTGTCCCCATGACTGGACTGCACCCTAGATGAATATATTGATGAGGGTGAGCCCCTCAGAATGAGATTAGTGATCATTTTGGAGTTTTGTTGGAAATACAGGATGTGCTGAAAAGATCAGGAAGGATGAGTGCCTGTCCACCTTCTGTGGACAGAGGCCCTAAGTGCCCATCCAAAGGTGAGGTGAGCCTTCTGTGAGACATCTTCATTCTGTCTGCACTTCAGCCTTCACAGCCCAACAAATAGAAGCCTGTGCTGAGGCCACACATTTATGGCTTTTTTCTCTGGTGACCCCAAGAAGCCATGTGAGACAATTCTCTCCACACATCCACAGTCCTTTCCTCTATCACCCAGCCCCATCCTATGACGCAGGCCCAGTGATGCTGGGGTCACAGGTCACTCAGAGAGTGACTTCTCTTTCCTCCAAGTACTCTCAAGGAACATCGCATAGGCATCTCTTTGTTGCACACACTGTTTAGTTCAATTTGTTAATAAGACCATTATGGGTGTAAAGTTTAAAATAAACTAGATAATTTATTACACACTTCTGTCAAATTTGCACTTGTTTGAGGCAACATAATGAAAGTAAAAAGATATAAGTTGAGTCCCTTATCCAAAATAGTTATGATGGAAGTGTGTCAGAGTTAAAGCTGTCGTTTGTTAAGTAAGGACAGTTTATTGACAACACTGACAAAGAACAGTGAGCAGGGCTGCTTTTTAGATTTTGGAAGGTCTGCTTATCCAAAACAAAATGTCCTAGAGATTTGAGCTAATCTAGACACGAACTTCCTTTGTTTTTTACATACACCCACCACACAGGTTCTTAGTGAACCTGTGTTTTGGCTGGGACCCTCATGGAGCACAGCAGAGAACTCTGCACTCTTGCCATGCTCCCGCTCCCAGCTGCAGGCTGTGGTTGGGAACACTCACCGGTGTCCCTTCTTCAGAGCACAGATAAGTAAGTGGTCAGTGCTGCTGCTGTCCTATACCTTGTAGGTCGGCCTGAGCGTGGCGTGGGTGTGGCAAACTGAGTAGCAGTGAACGGGGAGGAGCCTGAGCTCTGCTGTCCAAGAATGTTTTCAAGACTGCTTTATTTGACAACACACAGTGACATGAATGCCGGCTGGCAGCCATCACGGTGGGAAGGTCACACCAGCCAGCAGTCATCGGTTGGAAGGTCACACCGACATTCCCATGCTCTCCTCCTCCTGGCAAAAGCACGGCTCACAGGTCTCAAGGAGACAGAAGTCACATCTTCCTCTCAGTGCCCATTTGTGGCAGAGTAAGTCCTCTGTGACTGTCATTATGGAACTGTGTTTTCTACAACTGCTCCATGATTATTATAGTTTTGCCGTGGCTGGTTTTCCTATTGGCTTCTTACATCCTAAGACAGAGACAGCTCATGAGATAAAATGGTCTTGAGCATTGCCAGAGCTCTATATTGGGCTGTGGTCCACCCCACTCATCACTCAGCTGGCTCCTCTGGGCTCTATTGGCCTGTACAAAGCCAGTGGCCACCTCTTCTAGATGTTCCTTTTTCTCAGGCTACAGCGTCTAGACAGCTCTTAGCCCCATCACGTACTAGGAAGTTGAGATTAAGAATCCACCACAAGTTCTCATCCAGAGGGAGGGGTAAATGTCTCCACAGCTGAGTGTGGCTGAGACAGGAGGGTTGTGAGTTTGACGCACACCCCCTCCAGTCCCCCTCTCACCCCCCAGGGCCACAGAGTGAGTGTGCCGAGTGCCTGGGTAGATCCATCTGGGACACAGTGTAAGTAAGATCTTGTCTCAGAAAATGAAAACAAGACCAGAGGTGACAGCACTAGGAGCAGGGACTAGGGTAGAAGTGGGTGGATATCTGAGAGTTTTAGACCAGCCAGGGCTACACAGAGACCCTGCATTAAAAAAAAAAAAGAAAAAAGAAAAAAAAAGAAAGAAAGAAAGAAAGAAAGAGAGAAAGAGAGAAAGAGAGAAAGAAAGAAAGAAAGAAAGAAAGAAAGAAAGAAAGAAAGAAAGAAAGAAAGAGAAAAAGAAAAAAGGGGTCCTGGAGAGAGAGTGCAGTGGTTGAGAACACCTGTCATACTTGCAGGCCTGGGGTTCCATTCCCACTACCCACATGACAGCTCTCCAGTTCTAGGGGATCGAATGCCTTCTGCTGGCTTCAGTGGACACTGCACATAGTAGTGTATATAATAACACGCAGGCAAAAATACTCAGAGAGGAAAAAGAAAATCTTTTGTAAACAAACAAACAAAAAAAAAAAAAGGAAAAAAAAATCAAAGCCAGAACAGACCCTCCTCAGCCCTGCTAAGCACAAAGGACTGCATGCAGGTTTGGGCAGGTTTGGGCAGGGCCTGTGCAGCTGGCTGCGCTGTAAGGGGCCCACTCTGTCTGCTCTGTCTTCCTGCTTGATACTGTTTGCTGCACTTTCTGCTCTTGCCCTAACCCACCCTTGTTAAATCTCTCCTTCACCATTTCTCTCGTGCCTTCCCTCTTCCACCTGTGTTTTGGTTTTCTCCCTCCTCTCCCCTATCTGTTTTGCTTTTTAAGACAGGGTCTTCCTTTGGCAGGCATGGTACTCATTATGTAGCCTAAAGCTGGCCTTGAACTCATGGCAGTCCTCCTGCCTCACCACCCAAGTACTATAAGTGGCACTTTTCCTTACAGACACTCTGGCCTATGCCCAGCCTATATCTACACTAGAATCTACAGCTGCTTCTCCTGCTAATACTCTGATGCTTACACAACAGGGAGAATGGGTCTCAGTCTATCCCAGCACACTTACCGAGCATTTCTTCTAATTTGCTTGTGGCGGGCCCATTCACATAATACACATACTTACTATCTCTAAAGAGAAGAAAAGCTGTGTTACTGTGTGACCTGCGGCAGAGACAGCTTCTCACTACAACGACCCAGGGCTGCTAAAGGCCTGTGGCATGCATGGAGCCTGCTTTTTATCCTTCAGGCCTGGAACTAAATCCAGACCTTCAACACGCTAGGCTCTACTGCAAAGGCACAGGCATGGCCCTGCGCTGAGGTAGCTAGCTGAAAGGCTCCTTGCTCCTGCTTGGACTGACGGTGATACACAACTATGAGAGTTGGCCTCAAAATGCTTGTTCACTCAGGAGACTCCAGACCAGTGGTTCTCATCCTGTAGATGGTGGCCTCTCTGAGAGTCAAACGACCCTAACAGGGGTCGCATATCACATAGCTCATAATGCCACCAAAACTACAGTTATGAGGTAGCATCAGAAATAGCTTTATGGTTGGGGTCACCACAATAGAAGGAACTGTATTAAGGTCACAGCATTGAGATGCTGAGACCACTGCTACACACACACACACACACACACACTCTTATCACACAAGATACAACTGTGAGAGTTTGGTTTCAGCTTTATCCCTGGGACTCTCGTTCAGTTAGAAGACTCTGTTCATCTCTCTCTGTCCATAGTGCGCACACACTCACATTACCCTATACCTGATTCTGTAATTAATCTATGAAATTCAGTCTGAGGTCAAGCCAAACCTAGGCTAGAGTATGTTCTTGATTTTGGGCAGAGTGGGTTCCCAGAAGGAAGCCCAGTGCGGCACTCCTGGGCCTTGGCTCTTGGCTCACAGTCGGTATTCCTCATCTTGAACCCATTAGCATCCGGTACTTACATCTTCTTCTTCTCTACCGCCCCGAGTCTCACAAAAGCTGCTAAGGCATTTTTCTGCAGTTCAGAAGACAACACATCGTAACACTGAGAGCTACCTGTAAGGAGGGGAAGAGGGTAAGTGATCTTTCTACTGGCAGCTGAGAAACTACTGCCCACAGAGATATGACTGACCTTGATCCAGAAGCTGACGGGCGAACTTCCTGGCTGCAACCAAGTACTCTTTCTCACTGAAGTAGTCCTCTTCACGCAAGAGGTATTTGGAAAGTAACTGATTTCAAGAGGGAGAATGAGGAACATAGAGAAAGGGGGATAGGCAGAGGAGCACGGTGGCCACACTGCCTTCCTCACAGACAAACACCCTCCATGGTCTGCACAAGCAACAGAGCTCTTCAGTTTCCAGCAGCGTTTACAGTTAGAAAAGGACAGTTTGAAATGACATTTGTCAACAGTTTAATTTCTCATCTCAGCTGATGGCAAGACAAACACTTCCAGCTCTCTATATACCCAGCACCGCCCGGGGGGGGGTGGGGGGGGGAGAGGACCTTCAGTCTTTGTCTTTCTTTTAAAATCACAGAGTGCCAGATCCTCAAGCATTGGCTGATTCCCAGTTCATCAAGTGCCCATGAAGGGCTCTGAGGGTGGAGGTGGACAAGGTCGCCTCTCTGATTGCATCACCACTGCCACCACCATCAAAGCCAGTATATGAGCAAAGAGCTGACAGACACAGAGTTCTCTCATCTGAAGTCTGCACAGCCTAACATTTGCTATTCAAATTCCCTCTCTCCTTAAAATCCTGCGGCACGGTGTCCCGACCCTGTTCCGTGTCCTCTCCTGGGCACTCTGAGCAGGACCGTGCTCCTGCTCTTCTCAGGATTAGAATGAGCTCAGGAACATTAACGAATCACTTACTGACCACTATGTACCCACGCCAGCCATACAAGACGACGAGGCTGCCCCCGAGCAGGCACGGATCCTCTCTCTGGACCCACTGTTCACTGGCACATGCTCACCATTCACACAAGGAATTTCAGGAAGAAAGTCTTACAATATTGAAATGGGGCACACAAAATTTGCAAGTTGTAAGTACCTGATACGATTCTACAAAAGGCTTAAAGAGTCCTGTGAGGAATTGTAATACAGCATTCCCTTTGTCTGTGAGGATGATGTCCTTTCCAGTCATCTGCATAGCCTCAGTTTTACACAGCAAGTAACAGCCTTCCTCAAAATCCTGCAAGGAAAAAGGGAGGCCACGCATACATGCTGTCTGTGCACCCTCGACATCACTCATCCAGCGGCTCCTCGGAGCCACCTGACTGCACTGAAGCTGCCAACACTTCGGTGCCAAAGCTCAAACACAGAAACCCAGTTTGTGCAACTGTGCCCTGGGATGTTCAGACAGACAGCCACCCCAGATGTTCTTCATTTGCATTGCACACTTCCTTAAATTTAATAGCAAGTCCAGAAATACCCATAGGTAGACTTAGACTCAAGCTCTGCCTGCCCTCACTTCCCCTGCCTCAGCTCCCACAGAGCACAGGAAAACCCTCTCCTTAGGACAAGACACAGAAACCTGTTGTACCTTCTTCTGTGTGCCTCTGCCCACACCAGCAAATCCACAGAGCAGCTATGGGAGCTTGACCACAGCTGTCCCACTGCCAGGCAGGAGCACCACCAGCCACTCTGAACCAGCTCAACAGGGAAGGCTATGCTGACTTCCAAAGTTTATGAGCACAGCAGTGACAGGCTGCACTGACAGCTCAGAGAAGAACCCTCCTCTCCCAAAGGGGTCTCCAAGTCACTGATGACTAAGGACCAAACTAGTGTCTGATGAATTGAAGGCCCAAGAAGAAAAATATGACCCGAGACTTGATACATGCCAGGGACCCTCATCTGTCACCATTGGAACATGCATGTGGCATGGCTGCTCTGGCTGTCAGAACTTACCCTGAGTGTGTTTCCTGGAAGGAAGATGAACTCATCTGAAAACACATTGCGGAGGAAGGAAAAGCAACTGAAGACATCCTCTAGAAAGAAGCCATTTCACAGCATTAAGACATGGCTTTTGATCTTGCAGCCCTTTAAGTGTGTGTGCATGTAACAAGGGAAAACTGAGTCCTTGAAGTTATCTCAAGGACAGACAGAGTTTAAAAGGGCCTGGAATCCCTCAGTCCTGAAATGAGCACAATGCAACCATCCTTAGAAGGGCTTCCTTCTGAGCAGAGCAGGAAGGGAGCTCACCTCCCAGCTCCCTCATTCTCCCGTCTCCCACTAATTCACAGTAACTTAGCACTATGTCTCAAGTCACTGCAGAAAACCAAAACCAGCAAGGTACTTGCCCAGAATATGTGAAAGCCTGGGTTAGTCACTAGCACCCGAAGAGAGCAAGAAAAGAAAAAGCCAAAGTGTGCTCCCGAGACCAACCCAAAGAGCTCCTCTAGGTCAGGTCCCACGATCCTCAGGCAGATCTGTTTGGATCCAGTCTGTATAACCTACTTCAGCTGTGATCTGATACCACTGTGCACTATACAATGATGGTACTGGTATCCTATCAGCCTCTGCTAGCTAAGGGGCTGTAACCACGGAAACATCATCGTACCAGTGCCCGGGAATGGTGTTCCCAATGCAGAGCCTCTCTAGTGATGACATGGCTCCCTGGACATGTATAAACCCTTATTTACAAAAGGCACTGAATGTCAGACTGTTGTGCATGTAACTGAGTGAGGCGACATGCATGCCACAAACCTGGATGTGGGAGGTCAGAGGTCAGAGGTCAGTCTCATCTCAGTTGTTACTTCCACAGTAGTGGAGGCCCAGCCCCTCAACGGCTGCTTAACCGCACACTCACGTGTAGCTAGTACACACATTTAGGGGCATGTCTCCTGTCCCTGCCTCCACCTCACTGCAGGAATGCTAGGGTTCCACACACACGCCAGTACACCTAGCTTTTTAACAGTTCTAAGAATCTCAACTCAGCTAATCACGCCTGCCTGGCACGTTTCCCACTAAGCTGTCCTCCTACCCCAAAGGTGCAATACGGACGAAGCGATCATTAGGTCTTTCTAGTTCCCAAGCTTCACTTTTTTCCTAAAGATTTATTTTCATTTTATTCAATGTATATGTGTGTGTGTGCCCCATGTGTGCAGGAACCCATGGAGGGCAGATGAGGGCATTATGGTCCCTACAGCTAGAGTTGTAGGCAGCTGTGAGCTTCCTGAGACCGGTGCTGGACACCTCACCCCGCTCCTCTGGAAGAGCAGACACTCTTAACCTCTAAGCCATCTCTTTTGTTTTTGTTTTGAAACTGTAGTCTGCTATATACCCTAGGCTGGCCCTAAATTCCTTGAAGCTTCTACTGCCTCAACCTCCTGAGTAGAAGGGGTTAAGCCACATGCTACTATACCTTCCAACTCTAGAACTATAAGTGGGCAGGGCAGCCTCCTTTTATAGAGAACAGACGTGGTGGCACTACTCCTTTCTGGGACTACAGGGTCAGGCCTCTTTTGACATTGGAGGCCACACCCCTAAAAGTTACCTTTCCTGAGCCCAGGTGTCATGTGAAAAGCCACAGCTACTAAGGAAGGGCGGGCGAAAATGTTGAGCAGCTGGTTCCTGTAAGCCGAGCACATGAGGATGGCGATGTGCTCGGGCACAAGCCCATTGACCATCTGTGAGCTTCCAGAGTCCACTTTCAGAACCACCTGGTCTTTGACGAGGCTGGCCAGGTTAGAGTGCAGGAGGATGCTGGACTGGACCACTTCCTCAGGAAGTTTGTTATCTACAGAGAGAGCAGCAGAGCAAACTCAATGAGAAGGCAGCCACACATTCCAGAACCTACAGGCTCCAAGGCAGAATACATGGTCTAACACATCCTCTGTCTCTCTGTAACATGCCCAGCGAGTGATCTGAAGGTCACTTGGTGGGCAGAGCAAGGGGCCCCTCCTGCCCAACCACTACTCTCTCATCCATGAGCCAAGTTCCACTCAGTCCTCACCTTCCTAAAGATCTCCTTTCCATCAAAGCCACACTCCAAAATCCCAAAATATTCTCCATGGCCTGTGTTATGTCTGCAGCTCTGGGGCCTCAACCCTAGCACTAGCGCACCATCACCCAGGTCTTGATCCTAGCACTATTACCATCACCAGGGCCCTTCCCTCCAGGAAGCAGGAAAGCCCCAGACCAGCTTGTCCACCTCTGAGAACTGGGACGCGCTTGGCCATGTCATAACTTGGTCTCTCAGTGATCACACTCAAGTCATCACCCTTATGATTCTCAACTTACACCAATTACTGTCACAGACTCCTACCCCCAAGTCCCCAGCACAGTGTACAGAGTTCAAATGGGAGTACGTATGACACACTGTGAATGTAGAGGTCAGGGGACAGCTTTTGGGACTCGCTTCCTGTCTGCCAACTTTATTTTGAAGCAGGGTCACTCTACTTTTTAAAAAATATTTATTTTTTATTTTAAGTGAATAAGCATTTTGTCTGTATATAAGCATACCACATGGGTGTAGGACCTGAGGAGGTCAGAAGAGGGGGGCCTAAGCCCTTGGAACTAGAGTTACAGATGAGTGTATGCGGCCACCTGGGTGCTGGAGTGAGTGGGATCCTCCGTGAGAGCAGCCAGCACTCCTAAGCACTCGGCATCCTTTCCCCTAGCCCAACTCTGCGCCGCTGTGCACTGCTGATGCTCCTAAGGCTGAGCACCCATCCTGCTGCCTGGCCCATGAGCTTCTGAGCAATTCTCCTGCCTCCCCCACCCCCATCTGCCGGATATGCAGATGCCTAGTTGTTTCCCTGGTTCTGGGGACTTAACTCAAGTTATGCCAGACTTGTGTGGCACAACCTTCAGCCACTGAACCCTCTCCCTAGCTTTCAGTGAAGCGTTTACTGAGCTGTTCCTCTTCATCCCCCAACCCCTTTTTGAGACAGGGTCTCTTCCTGTAGCACTGTCTATCCTGGAACTTTCGATGCAGATTAGGCTCGCTGGAACTCACAGACATGCTTGCCCGGCTTCTGGAATGCTGGGATTAAAAGTGTGCACCACTCCAGCAGCTTCTCTTGTGGCAGCGGTGGTTTTTTCTTGTTCTTCTTTTCTCTTCCTTTCTTCTCTTCCTCCTCCTTCTTCTTTCTCCTCTTTTTCCTTCCTCCCTTCTTCTTCCCCTCCTTTCCCCTTCTTCCTTATCCTTCTCCTCCTCTTCCTTGGTTTTTCAAGACAAGGTTTCTCTGACACTCACTGAGATCAGCCTGCCTCTTGAGCACTGGGATTAAAGGCATGCACAACCACCACCCAGCTTTTCTTTTTTAAAAAACAAGATCTCATGTAGCTGTGGCAGGCCTTGAACTCTTGCCTTCCTGCTTCCACCTCCTGAGTACTGAGATGATGGGAAGGCTTGCTCAATGAACTCAATGAGCTACAGAAAGCCCTCAGCTGCTTACTCTACAACAAAGTCTACACACATGAGACATAGGTAAGAGGCTCGGGATGGAGCTTGGGGTACAGAGCACACACAAGGCCTTAGGTTCAATTTCCTGTACAAAGAAAATCACAAAACAAACAATCCTGGGGCTTATGAAATGGTTCAGTAGGCAAAGGCTCCGCCATGCAAGCTGGGTAAACCTGAGCTCAATCCCAGGAACACACAAAGGTGACAGGAAAGAACTGACTCCACAAGGCTGTGCTCTGGCCTCAACACCTCCAACAACAATTTAAAAAGTAACTTCACTGTAGCAAACAGTACACGTGCTGGGCATGGCAGCTCATGTCTGGAATCCTGACACCAGATGGCTGCTCCGGGTCTGAGATGAGCCTGGGTTATGCAGCGAGTTCTAGGCCAGCCTGGAATGAGAGCTAGCCTCAAAAGAATAAAATCTGAGGCTACGAAGACGACTCAGTCAGTCAAGTAGGACCTGCATTTGAAGAAGTGGCACACACCTCTAACCCAGCTGTGATCACAGAGGAGGTGGGGATAAGATCACCTTTGGGGCTTGCTGCTGGCTAGCCAGCTCAGCCAGATTGGCAAGTTCCACATTCACTGTGGAGGCAGGAAGCAAGAACTTTGCCTCAAAATATAAAGCAAAAACAAAACTTCCATCATTACCTGTTGGCTTCCACAGGCTCACGTGCAACCCACACCAGTGCACACACAAAACACACCACAGGCTCATGTGAACACACAACAGTGCACAAACAAAACGCACCACAGGCTCATGTGAACACACACCAATGCCCACACAAAACCCATCACAACTCTTTAACTAAATGACAGTGAGTGTGGAGGGGAAGGTTCATGCTGTTATTCTCTGGTCTGTAGTTGCCAAGGAAATGGCACTGTACTCCAGGTTTACTCTCTAGAGCGAACTGGCACACAAGCAATTACTCTCAGGAAGCCTCCTCACTGAGGTCTACATTCTGCAGTAGTGTGTGCCACCTCTACTTTGCTCAAAGCCTCCATGGGTGTCTCACCTCTAAGAACATTCCTAAACTAGAAAATGAAAAGACTTCTCTAGGGACTGTGGGCATCCCATATACATACCAGGCCAAAGCAGGAACCCTCCAAATGCCTGGGTTAAGCCCTTCAGCCACAAAGTCTTCTCCACTAGGGCGTCGAAGTCCATAGACAGCTGGTTCTGAAGTAGAATGGCAACTACCAGGAGCCATGGGCTCAGAGCCAGGTTTTCAATCTGCAGAAGCTGCATCTTATAGGCCACTTCAGTGACAAAGGCTTGTACATCCTCAGGCTGCTTCTGAGGGATGCATCTGAAAGAAGGGGCAGAGCAGGTTACAGGTTGGCCACACATACTCTGGGTGGGAGAGGACCCCAAATGAAGACCTGTCATGGTTCTGCCACCAAATTCTTTGAGAGCACATGCTGGCAGCATTCTCTAGCTTCACAGTGGGACCTGCACGTGTCTCAAGAATATGCAGTTAATTGATGTAAAAACATTTATTCCCAGTTCTAGGTAATAAAGGAAAAAGAGTAAACAAAAGCCCTAATCTTGCTTTACACGGAGAGTGTATCACTGGGACAAGCACAGCTGCTTGGACAGATCTGTACTGAGAAGCCACATGGCTGCCTCCTACACTGCCTCTTCAGGGAGGCTGCAGAACTCCAGGAACTAGCCCACCTTCATCTGGAAGCAGGGGCTCACAAACACTATGAAAGAAGCCCTGGGCTCTGTGGCTTCTGGAGTAACAAGTGAGGCTGCCTGCCAGGCACCTCACAGTCCGGGAGGGCAGGCTGGGCAGACGTTGTATCTGCCTTTCTTCCCCTGGAGGATTCCTCTAAGTTAAGAAAACACAAATGCTTGGGCTGGTGGGCTGGCTCACTAGGAAAAGGGGCTTGCTGCCAAGCCTGACAACCTACATACACCCACAAACATACAAAACCAATCAGTTAATCCAACTAAAAGGAAATTACAAATGCTCAGCTGTGCCATGGACCCTTCCAGAGCCCAGTGTTTGAGAACAGGGGACTGTCCTGAGCACTGTTGCTCGGCACTCCTTCCTCGGGTGTAAAGCTCTGCTCTGCACACACGAGCTGGACTGCTCAGAAACAACCTCTGTGTGCTTCAAAACCAGGGTACTGCTAGGCTGGCGGCGAGGACAATGACAAATCCTCTGGTCACACGTTGAAACACACAGCTTATCTTTGTTTTAGGGAAGAGCACTCTGGGGGCGTGGAGCAGATAGTCCTTTGTGTTTGCTTGTTATTATTATTATTATTATTATTTTTGGTTTTTCGAGACAGGGTTTCTCTGTGTAGCCCTGGCTGTCCTGGAACTCACTCTGTAGACCAGGCTGGCCTCGAACTCAGAAATCCGCCTGCCTCTGCCTCCCAAGTGCTGGGATTAAAGGCGTGCGCCACCACCGCCCGACAGCTTGTTATTATTTTGAGACCAGGTCTCATGTAAACCAGGCTGGTCTCAAGCTTGCGATGTAGCTGAGAAAAACCTGAATTCCTGCTCCTACTGCCTCCAATAGAACTCCTGAGGGCTAGGATTACAGACATGCCCCACCACGCTGGCTCCACACAAACATGAGGCTCTTTAACTGAAGCTTTCCCTGATGAACATGTAAGCCAGGGCTGCCCCAGCATTTGCTGGGAGAGCTCAGGCAAGCCAAGGTTTGATCTCAGAGGCCATCACCTCGAGAGTCTCGATTCACACTTGTGGAATTTACTTCTCATTTGTGTCAGGCATTAAAACACAGGCCTTGCACCTTGGCACCAAGTTATATGTGTTCCGACTGAGCCGGCCCGCAGCTAGAGAGCGCAGTGATACGGGGTCTCCAAAGTACACATGGATGCTTCCAAAGTTCTCAGAGAGAATCCGTCTAGCTTTCAACAATCCCTGGTGGCATCACAAGATGGGGAAAGAAAACAGGAGTAGATTTATAAATTAGTAGTGGATGTGTAAGCCAGGGTATTCTCTACACTCAAAGAAAATCAAATTTGGCTATCCTCACGTACAGCAGTGGACTCCTTTGGCTTAGGAATTCCTAGGAGCTCATAAGCATAAAGAGTTTCTTCCAATATTTTATCATAACTGATGCTAATTGGGACAAAGTAGGTATCAAAAACTTCTCTTTTAAAAAATGGTTCCATCACAATATTCAGGAGACCTGCGAACACAGAGAAATGTTTTACCATGAATACTGAAGATGGGGCACACTGGACTCATAGTAATACACCAGTCTCGCTCTGTCCTTCTCTGTACCCACAGCCTCCTATCCCAGGGCTGAGACGTGAATCCCAAGTCTGTGTCCAGCTCTCCCACTGTTGGCCAGCCTGTCCTGGCCCCAGTGAGAGGAGAAATGGCCCCATGTGGAAGTCGATTCAGCAGCAGTTACATGCCCAGCCTTCCATACCCACACCTGCGCCGCTGCCCCTCACTAACTCACACCAAACTAACATAAACTGGGCATGAGAGTTCACACTGATCTTCTTAGCACTCAGGAAGCTGAGGCAGGAGGATGACAGCAAGTCTGGGGCCAGCTGAAGCTACACAGTGAGTTCCAGGCCTGAGCTTCTAAGTCAGAAACTACTCAAACCGTGTACGTATACACATGAAGACGACAACAGCAGCCCATGTTTCCAGAGAAGCTCAAACCCCTTTAGTGATGACACGCAGTGTCTTCTCTTACTGCTTGTGCCTGGTACTCTGACTCTCTAAGCTTCTGCTCTATCCCATTCCCAGCCAGGGGGGAAAAAGACATTCACAGTGCCCCACAACAGCTACACAAGGAACCAGTTCTAATCTTATCAGAGAAGTGGAAGAATATCGAGTTCTGTTTGGTAGCCGCAGCAGCACCACACTTGAGACCTGGGGTCTGTCTGCCTCTGGTACATAGGAGACTTACCAAATTTAGGAGTCAAGGTCTTGGCTGCTCGACTCCTTGTCCCTTCGAGGAAAAACTCAACAGGAGCATAACCATTCTTTAAAAGAAAACACAACAAATACACAAAGCTCATTCTTTACTCTTAGAATGTCATAGGCCTCTTTTGTTTCCTCCTCCTGCCCTCTGGTGTGTGTCTGTGAGAGAGAAAGGAGTTTGGGGGAGAGACACCGAGGACCTCCCGTATACTAGGCATGCACTCTACCACTAAGCCACATCCCTGACCTTATAAATGGCTTTTGATTCCTTATTCCAAGTGCCCCCCACCCCTTGAATAAACACTGCTCACAGCAAGACTTAAAAAAGGACACATCTCAGATGAGGGAGCACTGGGAGCTGGTGCACTCCTTGAGGGGAAAGGCAGCTAGAGGTGTATTCAGAGGAGAAGTGCAGCTCCGGGTACGTGGAGCACTTGCATTTACCCGTAGCATGGTCTTCACGTATTCAGAGAATACAGCCCAGTAGAGTTTATTTCCTCCAAAAGTGCGTCGCATGAAGAAGGCCCCAGACATCCTGAGCAGCTCACTGACCACTCTCATCCCCAGGAAGTCTAAAACATAAGGAAGGGGTAGTATGGGAACAAAGGTGTGAACACCACTGACAAGTTCATGAACGTCACATGTGCCATGACAGCAATGCTTACACTCCTGATATCAACTCTAGGAAAAAAGGGCAGAAAAGGGTGAGAAAGAGGGCTCAGTGGGAGTGTCCACCACACAAGCATGAGGACCTGAATTCCAACCCCACACCCATGTGACACAGGCACACGCCTGTGCCGCTGTGCTGGGGGCTGGGGGGCAATGGCAGCAGGACCTCTGGAGCTGACTGGCCAGTCAGTCTAGCAGAACCAATGAGCTCCAGGCTCAGTGAGAGCCTGTCTCTATAAGGTGTTCATCAACAGAACAAAGCACTCAGTGTTAACCTCTGGCCTACACACACACACACACACACACACGCATGCACACACGCGTGCGCGCACACACACACACAGACATATACACACACACACACACAGGTGCACATATGTGAACTTGTACCTTCACACATGTACATACATGCAAACACACACAGGCATTAAAACAGAAGACATCTAATGGAATCTGTAAGAGACTGTGGTAGATGCCTTCTGGGAGAGTGCCCTGTACCGCTCTCGGCTGCCTGGTATTTTCAAACCACCAGGGACAAAGGCAATGGCAAGGCAACATGATAACAATGTCAGAGGCCAACATCCTCAGCCATGCTCTGAAACGGGCACTCGACGTTCCCAAGCTAGAGACCCATGACAACCTACTGGCATCTCTCCACTACCAAGTACAACTACCAACCTACTGTTAATGAAATGAATTAAATAAAGCAGGTCTATGAAAAAAGAGCCAGGCTCTCCCCGCAGTTTTAGCTTTCCTTCTCCCTAGTGTTTAAATCACTTCCTCACCTGTCTATGCAGATAAGGCATGTAAGTCCCTGCAGCTGTCTTACTGATTCACTACTCTTAGTAATACCAGAATCTCTACTTTCCTAGAGACCTTGAAAGGGAACCAGTGCAACCAGACTCTATCGATGAATTGTATAAAAGCACAGACACACTTACAAAGCAGCGTAGTTTAGCGGGACAATGCTTGCACAGTCTACACCCACAGTGTCAAGGCGTCACGATACATGAATTCTATAGCACAAAAGCCAACTATGTGGCTCACAGAACCAAGGGGAAGGCCTCAATCTGTAACTCTCAGATGAGTATCAGAGGAAAACTTCATGACTCAAATTTGGTAATGACTTCTTGGTTTTGACAGTAAATACGCAGGAAACAAATGAACAAACAGATTGTCTGGACTCCATGGAAACATACAAGTCCATGTATCGAAGGACAAAGCCAACAGAATGGCAGAGTGACCAGTGAGTGGAGATGAATTGGCCGAACCAGTATCTGTAGGCAAGTGCTCAGGATTCAGAGAACTCCCCATAGCTCAATGGCAAAAAGGTGAACAACCCAAAAGATGGGACATTGACCCACAATGACATATCGGCACAGGGACCAGTATGCCCAGCACCTGGAGAGCTGAGGCAGCAGGATCACTAGAGCTGAGAAATTCAAGGCCAGCCAGGGCCATAACAGATCCCATCTCAAAATTCAAACAACCAAACGATAACCCTGTTCAAACCAAACACCCCAGTGACTGCAGGAAGCACACAGACGGGGACTCAGTACCACTGAAAACACATTAAAACCATGACGACCAAATCACAGCACAGAGATGGTTACTACTGAAGAAACAAAAGTATGTGCCCTGCAAGTTCTCATAGGAACACAGGTAAATCCCACTCCTCAGCGCTACTGCTGGAAGCACAGAGCAGTGAGGACACAACACACAACACACAGAGGGCCTCAAACACATACAGTTCAGGTTCCCGTGTGACCAGAGGTGTGCTTGCTGAGGGTCAGGCGTATGTACTGTCCAGATGTTTTCTGTTACCTTGACACAAGAGACGTTTCTGGGAAGAGGAACTTGAATTGAGAAAACACAAGTCTGTAGACGATTTCTTGATTAATAATGGATGTGGGAGGGCCCAACACATTGTGGGTGGTGCCATCCCTGGGCTGGTGGTCCTGTGTTCTGTAAGAAAGCAGGCTGAGCAAGCCTGGGGAACAAGCCAGGCAGCAGCCCCCTCCATGGCCTCTGCATCAGCTCCTGCTCCGAGTCCTGCCCTCACTGATTGTGACAGTGAACTGTTATGAAGCTGAGAGTGACACGAGCCCTTTCCTCCCATGCTGCTCCCATTTCACCACAGCAGCAGTGACCTGAGACCCAGTGTCACCTGATGACAACCAACAACCAAATGACAGAAGCAGGCAAAGTGTTCACAGACAGGAAGGTTAAAGGATAAAATTAAGGTGGTATATCCACACAAAGGACTATTGCTCAGCTTTAAAAGGGAAGGGAATTCAGACACAGCGACAACTTTGAGGCCACCATTCTAAGTGGAATAGGTCAGTCACTGTTGCAGATAGCCCCGGCCCTGTATTTTGGTGCTAATTCCCCTTTCCGTTGAAGGGCTGCAGAGACGGAGTGAATCAGTACACAGGGGACTTCTAGTGAACCTTCTGCCCACCTTAATCTGTAAAATAAAGGCTGGAGCCAGTGATTGGGCAGAGAAGGGGAGGTGGAGAAATAAAGGTTGGTAGGAAGAGAGAGAAGACAACAGAGGAGGATGACTGGGAAGCAAAAGGTAGAAGGACAAACGAAGGGTCTGGAAAACCCTCAAGTAATAAGGGTCTCATAGCTGGTGAACAGAGTAGTGTAGTGGTGTATCTGCCCAATCTAGGCTTACAGAATATATTCATAATTACTGAGTTGTGTTTTCATTGACCAGTCATATTTGGGTTGGAGATTTAAATATCTCCCACTACAAGTCACTGCACAGCACAGGGTCCAAACTGGGCCACCACACCATGGCAGACAGGGTCCCTGAAGAGTTGCTGTTGGCACCCTTCGAATTCTCTAGTATCTTGTCATTATCGCTGTGAGGGGTAAGTCTGTACAAGCAGAAGCACGGATGAAGACTAGGCACGCACCCATTCCTGCTGCGATCACTGGTACAGGTAGATCATAGTTGTAGAGAACAAAAGACAGCATGAGGAAGTCAATGTAGCTCCGGTGGCTGGGCAGCAGGATCACAGGGTGCTCCTGGATAGCTCGTTGTAGCTTGAAAAAAAAAGTCAGATTTTCAAATTTCAGTTCTCATATCACTAAAATCACAGCTTAAATCAGAAATCAGAGAAGTAAATCATGGGTGAGCATGGAGACTCACACCTGAGATGCTGAGGGAGCTCATGCCTGCCATCTCATACCTGAGAGCCTGAGGGAGCTCACACCTGAGAGCCTGAGGGAGCTCACACCTGACAGCCTGAGGGAGCTCACACCT